CTGAGCGCGGAAAACCATCTGCCTCCCCAGAAATCGATCCATCCATATCTCTCGTGTCAACGTCCTCGGGGTCGCTCGGAGTATCCGTCTCGCACGTGATGTCCGTAATGCCCGAGTCGCTTGGCTCGCCGCCGTCAGGGGCAGCGTCCGTAGGATCAACGGTTTCGTCTTCATCATCGTGATATGCACCAGCTTCTTGTTGGCTTGTGGCGGGGTCGTAATCGTTTTCCGTCAGCTGCTCAGGATATGGCGTAGTGTCGGGATCAGAACAGTGACCCCGACCATCTCCACGAAACCAAACCCACGGTGTTCCTTTGAAATTCGGGCTTCTTGATGGGCGTCTCGTGGGGCAGCCGAGCTTCTGATCTGCATTGCTGGGGCATGTGCGGCAAACGCCTCCGTAAAACTTTCGATCCTCGATGATGGCCCTTCTAGGATCGCGCTTGACCATCTTTTCCTGCGATTTGGTTTGTCGCGCCTTTGAACGAATGATATTGCCTGCATCATCTCGTTTGACCTGGCGAAGGGAATACCGGTGCCGGATTTGATGCTCACTCCGGCCCATTCCCAACCAAGACTCCATCTGGTTTGCGGGCATGTACTGGTGAGCCAATCCAGCTTCAGCGTAGCCTTTCAAACGCTGTGCTTCACCTTCACGATACTCTCCTCTTCGACGTTGGTCATCCTGAGGCGGGTTCCCCCGCAGACGGCCCTCCCTTGGCGGAGTATGTGCTCTTGTCGCCTGCCACGGCGGGCCCCTTGTGGCCCCCGCATCAGGAGGGCGAGGGCGCTGACCACCGCTCGACGAAGCGCCGCTAGAGCGGGCTCGCGTACGATCTGGCGAGCGACCGGGGGCCCGACCGCGACGCATCACGCGGCCATCGTCTTCCCCGTCGTCCCCGTCGCCCATTGGGAGGAGACTTGGATCGTCATGCTATCTCTTCCTTATCAAGAGTAGGCGGCTTGCCGCTCTTCCGGGCTGCTGGCGGACCGTTCTGACGCAACAGAAGCACACTGACATTCTTCATTCTGCCCAAGCTCACATTGCATACGTTCAGATAGATCACCAGCGTCGAGCGGGTTTCCCCGCAAAAGACCACCATCGATTTATTCCGCGTTCGTCGAACTTCCAATCGCCCGAGGATAAAGCAAAGCATGTATTCCCTCATCTGTTGCAGGAAGGGTAGAATCTGAGTCCGCGGGCGCCCTCGCCATGCCAAAATCACCTTCGACGGGCAGGTGGAAGTTCTCGACCAACTCAATATCTGCAGGTTGCCCCGCGATGGGTGCACCCAGCCATTCTGCAGCGTCGATATCGTCGTGGCCAGCGCGCGCCTCGTCGAACAGCTCGTCGGCGTAATTCTCGAGGGCCAAGCTGGCACTTATATACCCGGCAGCCACGCAATGAACAATTGTGGCTGAGCCGTCAGCAGGGTTGGCTAAGAGCGACCCCCAATCAACAGACTGCATGTCGGAGTCCGTTTGGGCCGGATGCATTGACGCCCCCCTGCCTCTCGCATCACCTCGGGGGCATTCGCGTCGGAAATGCGTGCTGTGACATATGTCGCACTCCATGGTTGCACCGTTGGTATCCTTCGGATGTCCTCGTCGCCCTGTACTTTTACCTGATGCATGCCTGCGGTTTCTGCCAGTACCTAAACGCATTTCCTCATGCTGAGGTCCGGTGAAAGACGCTAGGAGTGCCAGTATGCCTCTACCATGTACTCGCCGACGCTGACCTTTGCCTTTGCTTCGGCCCTTGCCTTCCTTTAAGTGACCGTCGTGCAATGCGTCTTACCCTTCGGACTGGTTTCTTCACGAATATCCGCCAACGACGCTTGTGTTTTTGATTGCCCAGAAATAACCATTGGGCTTGCTGCTCTTCAGCACAGGTACGCAGGCATATCAGAATAATCCAAGGCGGCAGCTTCATCATCGGAAGACGCATCCGCATCGGTACCGGAGTCGAAGTCGGACTCGGCGGGTTGCCCCGCTGAGCCCAGGAGGGCCATTGCTTGCATAGGGGAAGCCGCGCCGGGCGGCCCCCCTGATCTGGCCCAAGGGCCTTGCGACCCCGAAGCCGTTCCACCATTCTGAGCCAACGGCGTAGTGGTCTCAGTTGGCTGTGTATCATCGTTCCAGACGTGGTTGGCAGGTTGCCCTGCGTTGGCCTCTGCGTGGAAGGTCTCGGTTCGGTGACCGTGGCTAAAGATTCCACCAATATTGCCAGGGATCCTCTCAGCTATGTGAGCATATGACCTCATACGTTCAAGTCGAGCGTCAAATTGTGGTTGGTCCCTCGGCATGTGGTGGTTCAGAGGCTGCAGGAATTGTTGCGCGCGCGATGTCCCCACTCCAAGAACTCTGAATAGAATTACTGCAAATATTTGGAAGTTGGGGATGTTGATGCCGGCGGCTTCAGCTTCGTAGCGGGCTCTTTCGAACCGTGCTACCGTCTGGTCGGTGCGTTCACCCGCATGCACTCGAAAGTCAATGAGAGCCGTGCCAGAGTTTATTTGGCGTTCCTCTTCTAGGTTCTCGAACTTCGCATTTAAGAGGAACGAAATGTAGGTGGCGCCGTCGGTGTGGCGACCGCCTATATTGACGCCAAAATTAATGACTGCTGGGGGGACTCTCATGGCCGTAGTCCGTGCGAGACCTCCCAAACCTCGCTGCAATGCGGCGGCTTGCTGGGAGGGCGTCATGCTGCCTGTGGTCACAGTTGATCGCGGCATGTGCTTCGCGGACGAACTCACGAACTTGTACTTGACCGGCAGGGTCCCAACGGGGACCAGTCGGTCTAGTGTCGTCTCCGCCCCGCATATGTCCCACCACACGCCCAATAGCGGCCCAGATGAGCCCAAAAAAAACAACCCCAATCCAGTGGCCTCGTAGGTCTTAGTCGGATGTAGCCGGCGGGGACCTATGTTTTGTCGTCGTAAGTCTGCGTGGGGTCGGAGGCGGCAGTATATCGTACCGCATGGTTTCATGCATTAAGTCTTCGAACAAATTGCCAGTTGGAGTTGGTGGGTGGACTTCAGGCGTGTAATAGCGCGGGGATGTAAGATGAGAGTAAGAGACCTCCGCTTGGACAAAGGTATCGCTGCAAATTGCCTTGCGGTACTGCGTAGTTATACACACTCCTCCGCGCAACCCCATCGCACCCTGATGTTCCACCATATCCGTAGTCCACCAGATAATGCCGTGGATGGTGAGGAGTAGAGCAAGAGCTGACCACCATAGGCCAGCTCCGCTACCAAGTTTGAAGGGGGCTGGAAGGCCCAGCCAACAGCTTCGCCTCAGGCGAAGCCAAACTCCCGCTCTGTTGTACCGTAGTAACGGTAGTCCCAGTACGAGAGGAGATGTCATCTCAAGCAATAGGAAGATGCTGTTGGTCTCGATGGCGATTGTGTGCCTCGCGGTGAGGCACAGTCAAATTTGGGCGGCCGGCCGCTTGAGCCGACGCGGCCGCGGACGCACGCTCGCTTCCACTCATTACGTCCCTCAGCTCGCTTCAGAAATCCAAGAGGCCCCAAAGCACCCCAAGAGCAGAGGGACCCAAGCCGCCCAAATGATTGACTGATGAGGCGCTTGACAAGTATAGCGCTTCCACCTCCTCAGGCTCCCGACGTTCCAAGACGGCCCAAGAGGACCCCAAGATCGCCCCAAGACGGCGCCAGAGGCCCTCAATACGGCCCAGGACAGCCCAAGACTGCCCCCCAAGGCGGCCCAAGAGGGGCCCAAGAGAGGGAGCACACATCGGCATGTTGAGCTCTCCACCAGCAGGCCCTCAAGGAGCCCCCAAGGAGTCCCAGGAGGCCCCAATATGCCCCCCAAGACACTCCGAAGACGCCCCGAGACACCCCAAACCTGCATCCAAGACGTTTCCGGGACGCCCCCCAAGAGACCCCAACAGGTATCAAAAAGGCCTCTGACCTGCAACCCAACGGCGCTTGCATGATTGGCAGGGCGCCATGGAATATGTATGTACAGATGTAAATATATACTGGATTGCAGACAGGTGCATATCTACATACACACATACATACAGATAGACAGACAGGCAGGCAGGCAGGCAGACATACAGACATGCATGTATAAATGGAAACATACAAACATCTATACATGCGTACATACATGCATGCATGCTTGCGTGCATCCGTACATCCAGTAACGCTCATATCCATGCACACATATACGCACGCACACACACATACATGCATGCATGCATGCATACCTACATACATACACACATATGCTCACATACATACATACATACATACATACATACATACATACATACATACATGCATGCGTACGTACGTACGTACGTACATACGTACGTACAAACATACATCCATACATACATAAATTCATACATACACACATACATACATACATACGTACGTACACATATACGTATATATATGTACATATATATATATGCATACACAAATTCATACACACATACATGAAACCATACATACATACATACATACATACATACATGCGTGCATGCATACCTACCTACCTACCTACCTACCTACAATCATACACACATACATACATGTATACATACACACGCGTATATATCTGCATGTATAATGCATACATACATACATGCATGCATGCATGCATACATACATGCATACATACCTACATACATATACTAGAACCACGCGCGCGCTTCGCGCGCGCTTAGGTTCTAGTCCAACCCATGGCGCTGTGATGAAACGGAGGTCGGGGTTTCTGGGCGACTCGCAGTCGGAGAAAGGTTGTCTCCGTCTTGGGCCGGTTATGGCATGTCGCAGGGCCTTCTTGGACTGGCTTTTGGGTTGTTCAGGCGCTCTTGTGGGGTGGGGGGGGGGCAGGTGTCTGTGGGCTCGATGGCGCCGTCCAGCCAGGGTTGCCTCCTTCGTTGTCACGGCGCGCAGGTCTTGGCTTGCGGGTTCGTCGGGGAGTTTGCTTCACAGGCTTGGGACATTGACTGGCTTTCTGATGAAATATCGAGGCCGTAGCTTGCTGGTCTGGATGTCGTCACATGTTCTTGGCTTGTCTTGCCGAAAATGTGCGGGAAGGACAAGGAATGACAAAGGACGTCACGACAACTGCCCTGAAATAGAATGTGCGCGCTGCCACGCCAGCTGGCGAGCACGTGCAGAAAAAATAGCAGTGCCAAAGGACGCCCAACAAACTGCCTTGAAAAATCATGCACGCGCTGTCACGCCGGGTGGCGGAGCACTTGCAAGAATATCGAAGAAAGACGGACGAAGGAGGGAACACAGCCGTGAAATTAAATGCACGCGCTGACACGCCAGCTGGCGGAGCACGTGCAGGACGAAGGCTGCGCACGCACACTACTTCGCACGGAGATGGTGCGTTGCGGTCGCGCAAGGCTCATGCAGCAAGATCGAATGATTGAACAGTGCTGCAACTGAAGCAAGCAAAAATGTATTGGACGAAGGCTGTGATCGCATAACAACCGTGTTGGGGCATCTTGGGGCCTGGGTCTCTTTCGAAGTCTCTTGGAACCCGGTTGGGGGCCTCTTTGGGGTCTCCTGGAGGCTTCCCGGAGTCCTCCTGGGGTCTCTTGGGGGCCTCTTTGTGTTTTCTTGTGGGCCTCCCAGGGGCCTCTTTCGGCCTGCCCTGCTGGGCACCTATAGGCGGCCTCGGGGGTCATTTTCTTTGCAGCGATACGTGTCCGACATCTCCCTCTCTTCCTCCACTGCTGCTGCACATGTTTCGTCCAAGATGTCTCGCCTCGCAGCCACACTCCTGATAAGCCGAAGGCATCTCCCTCTCTCCCTCCACTGCTGCTGTACATGTTTCGTCCAAGATGTATCGCCTCGCAGCCACCCTCCTGAGAAGCCGAAGGACCTCTGAGGGCGGTATGGGCAATGAGCGTTTCAAATGGGAGGGTAAGGGTAGTCGGAGTTTCAATCTCAGTGGGGTGTTTACCGAGATAGCGAGGCGAACGGATAGGCGATCTTGTTCGCTCTCCTCGGTACGCTGATGGACCATTTTTCAACACAGCGCACCAAACTTGGGCCAAAGAGTTCCGGGCGAAAACTTGCCTCGCAAGAGTGGCGCTGTCACCACCCGCGCGAGGCTTCGCAGAAGTGGCGTTGCCACCACCCCCGCGACACTGAGACGGCGCAATGTGGCATATTAAGCTGTCGCCGCTCTGGCGTATTCAGAGGTCCTGCAACACAGTGGCAGCAAATGTATCACATACCTGTCCTGGTAACAGAAAGCTGGCGGCACGCTGGGAAGGAACAAATGGTAACAGAAAGCTGGCGGCACGCGGAAAGGGGGACAAATGGTAACAGAAAGCTGGCGGGATCATGCCGATGCTATGCCGATGCTCCCCTGTCCCACGATTTTTGGGCAGAGGGCTCCAAATAGCAGCTGGTATTACCCCTCCATCCTGGGGCCCTCTCGGGCCGTCTTCGGGGTTTCTTGGTCCATCTTGGGGCCCTCTTGGACCGTCTAGGGGCGCTATTGAGAGCCTCTTGGGCAGTCTGTACTGAAGTACACTATCTAAATTTGGCCTCTCGGGGCACTCGTCGGGGTGCTATTTGAACCTTCTTGGGCCGTCTGGAACCTCTGGAAGCCGTCTTCAGGGCAGCTCGGGGAAATCCTGGTCCGTCGGGACCGCTTTCTGATCGGTCTGGGACCTGTTTGGCGGCCCCCCAACAGCGGGCCCCGGCCCCGAAGCGCCCCGAAAAGAGTTGGGACCCAACCTGGGCAACAAAAGTGATACGGGGGAGGGGGGAAGTTTTGAAAATTGTGCCGGCCCGGGGTCTGGGGTCTCAGGGGGCCTCTTGGGGCGTCCTGAACTGTCTGGGAACGCTCATGAGGCCCTCGAAGCGCGTCCTGGAAGCGTCCTGGGCAGTCTAGAGTCTCGCGGGACGCCCTGGGGCCGTCTCGGGGGGCCCACAGGGAGGGCGGAGGCAGCTCTGCGCAAGCGGGTTAATACCCTCTGGCGCCCAGGGGCCTGGAGCTCCCTTGAAAATATAACATGCAGTTGCTCCTGGAGGGCCTCTTGGCAACCCCAGGGTGACTCTCTTCGGGCGTTTCTGGGACTTGTTGAGCCATGATGGGGGCACCTTGAGCTCGATGACGGTCCACGATCGCGTCAGGACGGCCGTTCATCGCCTCTCCTCTCTGGAAGCTTCGGGATCGCCATGAGTGCCTGAGGGCGTCTGGGCAGGGGGCTCCTGGGGGCCTCTTGGGGGCCCCATCTTGGGGCCGTCCTGGGGCATTCATTGGCTGTCTTGGGGGGCCTTTTGGGCCTTCTTGGGGTTCTCTTGAGCCCTCTTGGAGACCTGTAGGGAGCCTCGGGCCGTCTTGAGGCGATCTTGGAGGCCTTGCGGCCGTCTTGGATGCTCTGAAAGCTCCAGAGACCAACATTCTAACAATTCACGTTTTCCGAGAAAGGAGCGGGGCCATTTTTGCCGCTTGAGGCTCTCTTGGGAGTCCTCTTGGGGCGTCTTGGGGGCTTCCTTGGCCGTGTTGAAGCCGTCTTGGGCGTCTTGGAACGAGAAGTTAGACCCCTCCTGCAGCCAACTTAGTCGGGCCTTGGGTCGTCTAGGCGCCCTCTTCAGCCGCCTTGGGGGCCTCATGGGATCCTCCGGAGCCGTCTTGGGGGAGTATTGGGAGTCTCTTGGACCATCTTCAAAGCCGTGGAGGCTGCAAAAACGTATATGCTGAAAGTGTACATTCCCTGATAAGAATTTAAAGAATTTGGCCTCTTGGGGCCCTCTTGGGAGTGCTCTTGCAGGCCTCTTGGGACGTCTCGGAGCCTTCTTCGACCGTCTCGGGGCCATCTTGGGCCGTCTTGGGCGACTCGGGGCCTTCTTCGACTAACTTGGGCCGTCTTTTACAGCCCTTGGGCCGTCTTGGCCCCCTCTTGGTCTGTCTTGAAGGCCTCTTGGGACTGTTTTACATACTCTTGGGCAAGTCTTCGGAGCTTTTCGGGCCGTCTTCAAGCCCGTGAACGCCGAAACGTCGCACATGCTAAACATGTACGCTTCCCCATGGGAATTTAATGATTTTAGCAGATTTTAGCCTCTTGGAGCCCTCTTGGGAGTGATTTGGCAGGCCTCTTGGAGCGTCTCGGAACCTTCTAGGACCGTTTCAGGGCCATCTTGGACCGTCTTGGGCGACTCTGGGCCTTCTTGGGCCGCCTTGGGTGCCGTCTTGGGCGCCGTCTTGGGCCGTTTTGGGCGCCTCTTGAGCCGCCTAAACGCCCTCTTGGTCCGCCTGATGGGCCTCATGGGATCCTCTGGGGCCGTCTTGGGGGAGTCTTGGGAGCCTCTTGGACCGTCTTCACAGCCGTGAAAGCTGCAAAGGCGCACATGCTAAAAATATAAGTTCCCCCATGGGAATTTAATGATTTTGGCTTCTTGAGGCCCTCTTGGGAGTGATCTGGGAGCCTTCTTGGAAAGTCTTGGGGCCTTTTTGGGCTGTATTGGGTAACTCGAGGCCTTCTTGCGCCGGCTTGGGGGCCTCCTGGACCCCTCTTGACTCGTTTTGGCACCCTCTTGGCCTCTCCGGGCCGCCTCTGGAGAGCGGAACGGGGGGGTATCAGCGAGCGTATTAGAACTGTTGCGGGCTGGGCCGGCCAAGACATGGGGGGGCTATCTCTCTCTCTCTCTCGCTCTCTCTCTCTCTCTCTTTCTCTCTCTCTCTCTCTCTCTCTCTTTCTCTCTATGTATATATATATACAGTATGCAACCATACATACATGCATGCATGCATACATATACTCACATACGCACATGCACAGATGAACACATGCACGCATACATGCATACATACCGACATACATCCATACAGACAGACAGATAGACCGACAGACAGACAGACACACGCACAAACACACATACCTATGCACATACAAATATACATACATAAATCCATCCATACATTACATACATACATACATACATGCATACATGCATACATACATACATACATACATACATACATTCACGAAGACGATGCCAGTTTTTCAAGAGGCAGCTTGCCGAGACACATCACCACATGGCGCGAAGCGCAAGACTTCAAACCAATAGTGCTGAACAAACAACTGTGCTGGGCTCGGGCTTGGCGTTAAAGGGCGGTCAGAGATGGCTTGAGAAACCGTGGCCGCGGTGTATACATTCGCATGCACGCATTTCCATGGAGACGATGCCAGTTTTTCAAGAGGCAGCTTGCCGAGACACATCAACACATGGCGCGAAGCGCCGGACTTCAAACCAATCTCACGGCCCAAAAGCCATAGGTGATCTGGCACAGCATAGACTAGAAAGCTGTGCCACTGCCAATCGTTGAGCTGAAGTATCCAAACATCGTGCAATAAACTCAGCTATGGGAGGAGGATAGGGCTCAGCTAGCTTGGACACCCAAGCTCCGTGCAACTTTCCACTGATGACAAGATGCGGTTTTCCAGAGAACTTGCAGATGCCACGACGGCCAGAGCAGACAAATTCTGAGACGTCAGGACTGCCAGCGTTGAGAAAAAGCAAACGAGCGCGCTTGCGGACAGGCAAGCCGCAGGAGCAGAAGTCGACATTGGGGTGCGGCCACTGAGCCAGCAGCCGCTGGCGCACAGGAAAAAGCCACAACAAAGATGTGGCTGGGTTCTCCTCCCCGCATGGCACTCCCAAGCCCTCGGCGGCCTTCAGCAGCCCGGCTCGGTCGATGAGGGTGTTGGCATCACGCACTTGTTATTTGAGGCGCTCGCCAAGTCCCAGCAGCCCACGAAGATGCTCGTTAGATCGGAGAGGAGGCGGCATACCTGCAGCACCGTTCTGGCGAGCTCGCGTCGCGGTGACGCAAGGCGCTGCCACCCAAAAGCCCCGCACTCTGCCCGCGCGGAGCCACCCCATGACCGTAGCAAAGACCTGCGTCCGCCTGATGGGGCCCAGCTTCTTCTCAAAAAAGATGACTCCGTGACCGCGCTCTCTCAGAAACCTGCCGACAGGACCAGTGCCCGCGAAGATGTCGAGGAAGACTTTGCAGTGGCCGATTCTGGCGTCGCGCCTGGCCGCTGCCAGGCTGCGAGAAAGAGCTTGGTCAACTCTTGCTCGTGACGCCGGGCCGTCGCCACTACGGCCGCCTTGGACCGCTGCAGCACCAGGCCGAGTCGCGCGTGCTTCTCGTACCTCGCCTGGCTCGAGTCGGTCTTCCAGCCGCCTCGCTTCATCACCTCTAGCATGGGGCGCGAGTTGCTGGCTCGGTCCTCCGAGGCGCCCCCGTGTCTTAGACAGTAAGGCGTGAGATGTAGGTGCTCGATCCCGAGCCGTCTGCGCGTCGTCCGCCAGTGCCTGAGCAGCGTCACGTAGTCGAAGAGAAACACTGGGTCGCGCTCCCCGCGACGGCTGAAGATCTCCTCCAGCCCTGGCACCAGCACCTGGTGTCGTGGCAGATCGAGACTCACGCTGCCGTCGAAGTCGTCTGTCTTGCCAGGCCTGCCGAGCTCCAGGGCACGGATGAGCACGGCCCAACGCCCTTTTGTCCCCGGCATCCCGTCTCCCGCCGGTGGGACGAGCTGGAAGCGCTGGAGAGCCAGGGCCTCGCTGGGGCGCATGCACGTCTCGAAGACCAGCATGGCGAAGAACCCCGGGCTCGGCAAGCCGCAGTCGCACAGGTCGAGGGCGATCGCGATGGCCAGCTCCCGCGGCATCGGCGGCCTCGCCCGGCCCGGCTCGGCCCGCCGCCACCCTGCCAGCGCTGCAGAGGCCAGGGGGAGGCCTCGGCGCAGCGGGCGGGGGATGGCGGGCTCTGCCCACCGCACAGCCGCCAGCGTCGTCCCGCCGGCGTTCTCGGTCGCCCCCGAGTCGTACAGGTGCTCGATGTAGCTCGTCAGGAGCACATCCCACTCGTCCTTGTCGAGCGTGGGCGCCCTCCTCAGCATCAGCCGTCTCAGCAGCATCTCAGGTGCGTCAGGTACTTGTCCTGTGTCGCTGGGGTCACCGACGCCGCTCCCAGTGCCGACGCTCGGAAGCCGAGCTCCGCCAGCCGAGTGGCTGCCCGCCCCGCGCTTCCGATCAGGGTCGAGGGCGACTGGCGCATCCCCCGCCGCACCTGCTGTCTCTGAGCGTTGCCCACCCGGCGCGCAGGGCGCGCCGCGGCGCTCCCCGCCGGCCCTGGCCCCAGGTGGCGGTGAGCCACGGGCGGGCTGGCGGTGGGAGCGGCCGCGAGGCGGGCAGACACTCGAGCAAGTGTCGCAACCGACGTCGTCGGAAGCTGCGCCGTGTCCAGCCTCATCGCCGTGCGCAGCTTCCCAGAGCCCCGGCAGGCCGTAGGCGAACGGGACCGCAGCCGCGAGGCGTCGGAGGCCCGCAGGGTGCGGAACTCCATCGCCGATGACCGCCTCCACGGCCCCAGAAAGAGGAGCGGGCCCGCCGCGGCTCGCCAGACGATCCGAGCCACCAGGGTTACTGACATAGAAGTACTTAGCATGGTGCTCGCTGGCAGGGTCGCACCTTCGGCTCGGGGCATCTGCGCTATTCCACTCGGAAGGAATCCAGCGATACACGAAGCGACATCCAGAGGCAATAGCGAGCGCACACAGCTCACGACACCGACGAAGAAGAATCCAGAGGCTCCCTCTCCCTTTGGTGGCTGCACAAACCCAGGCCATCGAGTCGCTGAGGATGAGGTGCCGATGGCCCCCTAGACGCCTGTCACGACTGATACGCCGAGCAGCCCACAGGGCCGCCTCCACCTCCAGGTTCAGGATCTTCTCCTTCCTCCTCCACCTCCTTGCCGCAATGACGCACCAGGGGGAGTCCTTGGCAAACCACTCGGGAACTTCGGGGAACTCCGTCTGGGCTCCAGTCTCCAAGAAGTCGTGATCAGACCCACGGGCGAGGAAAGAGAAGGGCGCCTCAATGTCTTCCAAGACGTCGCGCGGCCTAGCACACTTGCGAAGCTCTCCTCGGAATCGACAGCGTTCACTGACACGGCCAACCTTGCCAACGCTGGTAGACTCGAACTGGCACGCCGTGACACCGAACCCGTGTAGCGACGCGCCCACAGAGGTCACCTCCGAACTCCACGGGATGTCCAGCCGAGCAACAGCCGTGGGGAGGAGAGCCCATGCTAGCCAGCACTCGTGCCTGACCGAGCTCCAGACCCATGCGGGTCGGTCCCGAAAATGCGTGCTAAAGGTGTAAGCTGCTGAGAAGACTGAGAGCAGCTCAGGACGAAGCTGAAACACCGCAGAGACATGGCCTACCAGACGAGCAATCTGACGCCCAGTCCGACGAACCCGCCCCTGGAAGACCGCCTTCGAAGCCAGGGGGATCCTCCAAAACTTACGCCCCGAAGGGGCCCAGGACGACCCCGAACCACCCAAGCAGCACCCAAGAAAGGGGGCGCCGTCGGGCCCCGCGTCAGCGTCGAGACCGGCACTTTCACAGCGGACAACATTTTCGCAAGCCCATCGCACGAGCGAGCGGCCGGGAGCGAGAGAGACGCAAAGTTGTCCACGTAAATAGCACTGACGGCGCCTTGCTGGGTGAGGGGGTCCAGGGGTCTGTGTTGGGCCAAGAAGGGATCCCTGGGAACGGCGGGGGCCAACAGGTTCTTAATAGCAGACTGGGCGAAGTACACTGCCCACGACCAACCCATAGGCACAACACGGAGCCTGAACCTGACCAACCCCGAGGGATCAGGCGGGCCCAGGACGTGCCTTACCCGAACAGGAAGGTCGGACCAGTGCACCGGGGGGAGCCCAAACCAGCTGCGCAGACGGTCTGGTAGCAGAAACTGATAAAAGCAGCGCGTGACATCTCCCTGAGCACAATGCAGACCAGCCCCAGATGGGACTTCCAAGGAGCTGAGCGCCTGAGCGGCAGCAAGAGAGGTGTACAGAGGGGGGGAAAACGAGGTATTAGCATCACGCGTATCAAATATGAGACGCAAGGCGCCGTCTTTCTTTCTTACAAAAAAGGGGGTGACCATCTTCGTAGACTCCCCTACCTTCGGCATGTGACGAGACAGGAGGTCACTCAAAAAACAACCGTAGGCCTTCTTGCCCTTTGCAAGTCTGGGGTCGAAGGCCAATTTCCCAGCAAAACTGTTGTCAGCATGAGCGGCATTAGTCAGAAGCCCAGTGGATTCCTCTACCAACAGAGCGGTCCCAAGTGGGCAGCACATCCTCGAGACGTGTCACCCCGGTGGCAACGCGAGGCAACGAGACCTTGCCTCGTTGGTAAAGTGCATGGCTCCCGCTGGTCAGGTCGTCACCATAACCAGGGTCGGTTCCCAAAGTGCTCTTGACGGCACTCTGGACGGTCACATCGCTCGGTTGCTCAGGAATCGCGGCATACATGCTAGCGGGTCGAGACAAGGCGTGAGCCTGCAAAATTGTCGTCGGCTGCGCAGTCGTCTGGCCACGACCCCCGATCGAGTCAAGCGCTCGAATCCCTTCCTGCAGCCACCGCGCAGAAGGGCCCGTGGAGCACGGGCCAGGCGGCGGACCAGCGCAGGGAAGGGGGAACACATCGCGATGTGACTGTAAAGCCATGGCACAGCCGATGGCCCCCCTCAAAAAACTTGCCTCGCACGCGGTGGGGCGTCACGCGCAAGGCGACCGGATGATGATGCCCACGTGCAGTCAGCCCTCCTCGGCCTTCTGCTTCTTGGGCGGCCCCTTCTTTTTGCCCTGACCCTCGAAGGCGGCAGCACCTCCTGAGCCACCGCCGCCGCCGCCGCCGCTGCCGGAGCCCGAAGACGCCAGCGCGGCCAGGTTGCGCTCCTCGCGACCCTTGCGGCGCTCCTTCAAGATCTTGCACTCCTGCTCCATCTTCTCTGCCACGTACTCGGCCAGGCTGGGCGAGACCAGGGCTGTGCTGCCCGACGTGACCCCGAGGAAGGGGTACCTCTCAGCGGCCGCTCCAGCGGCAGCTCCGGGTCCCTCAGTCACCTGCTTCAGCTTCTCGGCGTAGCGCTCCTCCCACAGCTGACAGCGACGGGAGATCGCCTCGAAGGCGGCGCTGTTCGGCAGATTCAGGTGGTCGCACTGTCCGCCGAGCTCGAAAAGCTCCGAGAGGAAGAGGTGGTCGTCAATCCCAGGGTCAGCCGTCGTTGCCCCCAGCATCTGCCGCCACCAGTGGTGGCGCGCCACCGGGCTCTGGCCACCCTTGTGGAACGCCTCCATGAGCCAGCCTATCGTCCGCGGGCCGCGGACAGGAAAGTCATCGAAGGTCTCCTCCGTGAAGGCACCCCGCGCGCTCTGGAACGAACGTGTCCTCTCCCCGCGCGGGTTGTACTGTGCCGGCAACGTCCTCACGTCGTCGTCTCCGGCACTAGGCGGCAGCTGCGCCGACACAGGCACGGTCCCCCCATTGCGAATGAGGAAGTCCCGAGCGTCCGTCGGTGACGCACCGATCGTTCAACCCGACCGTCACCTGCTCGTGCATCCGCTGGCCGAACGCGTCGGTGAGCAGGTACCAGGTCGTCCCGCGGGGTGCATCGTCGAGCTCCTTAGGCATAGGGCTACGCGGCATGGGAGTGCCGCCCACCACGTCCAGCGGAGCAGATCCTCCGCCTGTCGCCAGCGCAGCGCCGTCCCCCGCATCAAGGAGCGGGATCGGCGCTGCTGGGTACTCGCCGCTCTCAAGCAGCCTGGCCAGCTGACGAGCGGCATCCACGCGCAGCTGGCTGTCCTCCTCCAGGTCCCCTGGGTCGAAGTGGTAGCGCCGCCTCGGGTACAGCCGGCGGGGCACGCCGCCCTGGGACCCAGAGACGGCCAGGTCCTCGTAGTCCGTAAACTCCTCAGCGTAGACGTCCCCGTCAGGGGTGGCGACGATCACGCCCGTCCCGTACTCGTGCAGGCACAAACGCTCGTGCCACAGGCCCTCCGTGCGGTCGAACAACACCCAGAAGCGTTGCCCCGCACGTGGCCTCGTCAGCTCCATGGCTAGCCAACGTTAACGGGCGGACCAGCTGTGATCTGCCCGCGCAGCGCCTTCCCGTCGATTGCCTGCACCCTCGTGGTCGGCGGCCCCCACAGCAGCCTCGGGCACCAGCCAATGAGCGATATCACGCTCAGGATGCCAATGAGGACGGGCGGCCACCAGGAACTGCCTTCCGAACAGTGGCAGGTGCACCCGCACGCAGGCGCTGGCTGCACTGGCGGGCTCCACCAATTATGCGCGAGGAGACAGAAGTTGCCGACCGAAACGAGGCAGGTGAAAGTCTCGGTGAGCATCCTATGCGGTCAGAGATGGCTTGAGAAACCGTGGCCGCGGTGTATACATTCGCATGCACGCATTTCCATGCATGCATGCACGCATGCATACATACGTACATACGTACATACGTACATACGTACATACACAAATACATACAACCAAACAAACAAACATACATACATACATACATACACACATACATACATACATACATACACACATACAGACATACATACATTCATACATACAATCAAGCATGCACACATGCATGCATACATACAAACAGACATAACCACATCCATACATAAGCACACACATACACACATATATCAATGTATGTGTGCACGTATACATACACACCGACACATATACACACATGCAAGCATGCATTCATGCATGCATACACACATACATTGCATTTCATAATTGCGTACGTGCACAGCTACAAGCTCACTGACTCATATGCATGAATACATACATGATACATATATATATACATACACGCATACATACACATCGAAACAACTATGTATAAATGCGTGCATCCACGTCTGCATACAAACATGCATACACACGTACATGCATGCATACACACGTACACACACATATACATACCCATAACCATGCATATACACATACCCACGCGCATGTAACAGCTAATACGCATGTACATGTACACACATGCGCAGGCACACATATATGTATACATCATTCTACACACATAAGCGTGCAACCGTTCACACGTGCATACATACACACATACACGCGTACATACAGATTTGCATATGTACATAATGAGAAGTTTTTAAGTTATAAGTCACGGCGCATGCGCACCCATTGGGGTCTGCCCGGCGTCGACGAGGCGGGCGGGCCCCGCTGACATGGCAAAAGGCTGCGCGTCAGAGAGTGCGGCTCTGCCCATACTGTCGCGAACTGGTGGGGGTATGTCAGCGGCGGCGGCACCTTGGATAGACGAGCGCGTTCCACTACTCCCAAAGTGACTAACTACTCGCAAGTGGCCTGGCTCCGCCGAGCCCATTGCATCGAGGCGAACATGTTTTTCTCCGGGCGCTTGCGAGTAGGAAAATTGCGAGAAGTGGAACGCGCACAATGATTAGAGAACGCCCAAAGGGGGCCGAAGCAACTGGGGTCGGTGGATCGCGCCGCGTCTCCGTTACATCGGCGTGGGCAACCTCGGCGACGTCGGCGTGGAGAACATCGTGCTCCACGCCGAGCCGCATCGCCGACGCATCGGCGATGCGGCGCGATCCACCGACCCATCCCTTCGACCCCATCCAGGGCGGCCTGGACACCTGGGTCTGCCACGGCTGGCATGGCCTCCTCGCGCACGCCGGCGGCGGAGCCGTCTGCGGGCGGCTCGAGAGCCTGTGCGGCGGCCCGAGCGGCCGCCCGCTGGCCCAGGCGGAGGGGGGTCGGTATCCCCTGCAGGAGCGCGTCCAGGCGAGGCCCGCGCAGCTCGCCCGCCGGCGGCGCGCGCGCGGCCTTTGCAGCCATCTTTCGGCTGCGCGCAAGAGTTACCCTAGGCAAGGATGTCTTATGGTGCGCGGCGCGCGCGGCGGCAATGACGCTCCTGCGTGCCCAAGTCTGGCCCAGTCCCCCGAACGCCCCCCGTACGCCGCGCACCACGGGCAACTCTGGCCAGGCGTCTCTTGATAAACAATGAAGGTACCCCCAACCCTTTGGGGTCGGCCCTCGGCGTAAGGGCCCGAAACATCTGGGATAGGGTGTCTTTTCTGCAGATGCATCGAAACTAACCGCCCCAAAAAACTGTGATCCCTACTGCAAAAACGGGGACCTCGGTGAGGCTATGCCTTCATAGTGTTGTTAGGGCTATATGGGGGTCTTCTACGATCTATGATCTCTGCTCCTCCAACTCCTCCTCCTGTTCATCCTTATCCGCATCCTCTTCCTCCCCCTCCTCCTCCTCCTCCTCCTCCGCCTCCTCCTCCTCCTCCTCCGCTCCCGCCTCCTCCGCCTCCGCCTCCTCCTCTTCCTTCTCCTCCTCCTCAGTGCTCCTCCTCCTCCTCTTCCTCCTCCTCCCTCCTCCTCCTCCTCCTCCCTGCTCCTCCTCCTCCTCCTCCTCCTCCTCCTCCTCTTCCTCCTCCTCTCCTCCTCCTCCTTTCTCCTCTCCTCCTCCTCCCTCCTCCTCCTCCTCCTCCTCCGCCTCCTCCTCCTCATCATCATCATCATCATCATCATCCCCTCGTCCTCTTCCTCCCCCCTCGTCCTTCTCCTCCTCCTGCTCCTCCGCCTCCTCCTCCTCCTCCTCCTCCTCCTCCTCCTCCTCCTCCTCCTCCTCCTCCTCCTCCTCCTCATCCTCCCCCGTGCAACCGAACCTCACGCTGAGCCAGCGCCGCGAGCCCAGGCGGCCGCATGAACCGAACCTCACGCTGCGCCAGCTCCGCGAGCCCAGGCGGCCGCCTGATGCGGGGCGGCTGCGCCGCCGCCGCCGCCGCCAACTGCGCGGCGTGCCTCCCGTGTGCGCCGGGGCCGCGCGGGCGAAGGGCGGCTGCGAAGGGCGGCCGCGGCCAGAGCCAGTCGCCCGCGGGCGGCTGCCGCTCCCATGGCTCGGGTCCAAGCGCAAGGGGCGGCGAGGGGCTGCGGCGATGGCCCATGTTGGGCACGAGGACTTTGTCAGCAACTGCGTACGCAACTAACTCAGATTGAACTTCGAAGGGGGGAACCCTGTGGCCCAAGCGCGCGGGAGCCTGAGCACAGTGGCGGCGCGCAGGGGCCGAGGCGTCTCTGGGGGCGCTGCTGCCCCGCACGATAGACTGCGTCTGTTTGAGGACTTCTCTCTGACCCAGTCGCGTTGGTCTAACCGAATACTTACACTAAAATGCACATTGGGAGGGCATGGGAGGGAAGGAACGAGACGGAGAGAGATACAACAATGCATAAAACCATACATACAAATATCCGCCGACCCTGTCGGCGTGTGGACCCCCTGTCGGCGTGCGCTCAGTCGACGCATCCGTTGTCCTCTTTCCCTGCGTCTCCGTCGTCCCCTCTCCCTGCACCCTCCTCTTCAAGCCTGAAAGCGAAATAAAACCGTAGCAACGTCGTACTTAAGTCGAGGGGAAGGTCTTCCCTTTGATCCCTCCCCCGCCGAAGGGGGGGGTCCCGAGGGGGGGGGTCAGATAAGCATCCTTCCCTGGGCGTCCCGGTGGCACCAAAAAACGCCGAAACGCGCCAAGGGGGTCCCAAGCATGCCCAATAAGAGAATCACATTCCGAGCTTCCCGCACGAAGCCCCCGGCAGGCCCCAAGAGCCCCTTAAGGGGCCCGAAGAGGCCTCCAAGAAACCCCCACGAGGCCCAAAAGAGGCCCCAACTTGCCCGAAAACATCCAAGAGGCCTTTCAACCATAACCCCAGCACAGTGGCGGGAAGGGCCGCAGGCCACACGGCTCCCTGTCTGTCTCTGCTACGACTCCCTCGGCCCACATGGGGAACATCTCCGTCGCCTTCTCCTGTCCCCTTCCACCTTAATCCCCCTCCTCCTCCTCCTCCTCCTCCTCCTCCTCCTCCTCCTCCTCGTAGTCGTCGTCGTCGTCAGGGTCGGCGGCACCGGCCGTAAGGCCTTAGTAATCTTCTTGGCGGCGCGCACAAGGGCGAGGACACATTCGGCGAGGACGAATCGAGAGTGTCCGAGAGATCTGGCGGCTCTGGAGGATGAAGTATCGGGCGTCGCGGCCTCCCCAGAGCGTTCCAGGACGCTGAGACGCGCCGCGCATGAGCGCGCGAGCTCGCGATTGGGGCGTCGTCGTCGCGTCGTCGTCGCCGACGACACGCAAGCAGGCACGCTCAGAAAACAAAGCGAGCTCCTCCTCCAGGGGTCAGGTGCCGGGCCCTCCGCCTCCGCAGCCTCCTCCTGGAGCCTTCAAAGAGCCGCTGTCTATGACGCTGCCTGCGACCTGCCTGCTTTGCAGACCTGCGCGCCGCCACGCTGCTTCCGGGCAGGCCGTGCTGTCCGGCGAGGAGGAAGGAGGAGGAGGAGGAGGAGGAGGGGGAGGAAAAACGCGGCGAGCATACATAACCAAGCAGGAAGAGAGGGGGGAGGGGAGGCAGCAAAGGAGCAGCAAGCAAGCACGCACGGCGGGGGGCGGGCGGGGAGCGCTGAGACAGCGCTCTGGATTGCTCTAGAACGGATCTTGGCGGCGCGCACGAGGGGGTGGAGGGAGGGGGGAGGGCTTCTTAGAAGGAGACTGCTTCTTAGAAGGCTCCGACCTTACATCTATAGATGAGGCCGCGCGTTCTACGAAGCCTGGTTCGATGCATCCATCCCGCCTGTGCCTATCCCCCCTATCGTCGATCGTTGCCTCCGACTTTGGCTGGCTGCACGTAAGAGCGACCTTTGGTAACAGTAACGCCTGGCGCGCGGCATTGAGGGGGGCGCGGGGGGGAGCCTATAACAAAAGCGCGCAAAAGCCGGGCATCGTACCCCTTCTTCCCGTGTCCATCTCGATCGCCCCGACGGCTCTGGGCCCCCAAGCAGGTGCCGCCCGAGGAGGAGGAGGAGGAGGAGGAGGAGGAGGAAGAGGGGGAAGAGGAGGAAGAGGAGGAGGAGGAGGAGGAGGAGCCGTCTGCCCGCTCGGGGTGGGACGGCCACGCGCGCTGGCCCACGCGCGGGCGGCGGCATCGAGGCCCGCCATGGAGACCGTGCGGGGGGGAGGACCCCGCCATATCCCCCGCCGCGGCGGCGGTCTCTGGCGGCGGCTGCCCGCGGCGGGCTTCTGCCTGGCGGCGCTGCCCGCCCTGAGGATTCTGAGTGCACGAACAACAAGGCCCTGCAGGAGAAGCTCTACGAGAGGAACAAGGCCAGGGTGATCGAGTACGTGTCGATGCTCGACAAGGTTCCATCGCTGATTGCGAAGAAGCAGTCCGAGAATCTGAAGAGCCTGCTGACCACCAAGCTCTACAGTCTCCGCGAACGCATGGAGCACGTGACCACCACGGGCACGCCGTTCGACCGCAAGAACGACGCGGCGGGCATGAAGGAGGCCGACGTCTTCTTCCAGGACCTGGCCGACCTCGGCGTGGCGGGCAAGGAGAGGAACTGGGGTTGGGCGACCGAGTCGTACAAGAAGTCCAAAGGGCGATTTCCAAGCGTGCATGAACGTGGTGGGGCTCTGAGCCTCCACGGCCGGCTGACGGCCGCCTTTCTTCGGGCCTCGTGCCGGGCGCGCCGCGGGCTGCAAATGGCGTTGGTGGTGCCCCGAGCGGGCAACCTCGAGACGCGCAGGAGGGCAAACGTGGGAGCTTCGCCCTTCCGTCCCCTCCTGGTGCAGGGAGGAGCATGAGGAGAAGGAGGAGGATGGAGGTTTGGGGGACCAGGCGGGGATGCACGCCGTTTTGAGCCAGCGTTCGCCAACAACAGCGGCGGAGCCGCAGCATAGTGCTGCCGCGCTCGAGTTCCGTTGAAGTCTGGAGGTTCGTGCCGCCCGAGTTCTCCAGACTGTATTCGCGGCCCGTGGCCCGAAAGGGCTGGTGTGGGCGTCACGCGCGCTTCGTGCACGGAGTTGCGAGTTCGCCGACAGCAGCGGCGGAGCCGCAGCTTGTGCTGCCGTGCTCAGGTTCTGCTGAAGTCGAGGGTCGTCCCTTCAGACAGTATTCGCGGCCCTTGGCCCGCATGGCCTGGCGTGGGCGTCGCGCGCGCTTCGTGTACGGAGCTGCGAAGTCGAGGTGGAGGAGTTTCACAGTGAGGAGTGAGGAGTGGATGCTGGTGTTAGGAAGCCCGCCCCACTGCAGCCCCCTGTGTCCGCCCCTGGAGTGGGCACGTATCCGACGGCTCGGGCATCGGTAGGTGGAATATCGGGGGGCTGCAAGGGAGTGAGGGCGGCATGGGCGCGAGCAAGCCGACTTCGCCAGCCGCTGCCGTACTTGGCGGTCAATCGTGTTTGCTTGGACTTCCTTTCGGTAGCTATCTTCCATATTCCTCCCTCTTGTTGTCCATCCTGTCCTGTAGCGCAGTGTTTGAAGGAGGAGATGGAAATAGAGGTGATGAGGCGGTGGAGCTGGCGGTGGGGAAGGAAACTGTGGGACCGCGGGCCCATGCTCGATCGAGCACGCGGCCGAGCGTTTCGGCCTGACTGCCAGAATGGCATCAACAGGAGGCTGGCGACGCAGCGACAGATCATCGTGGGCACGAGTCTCTTACGGTTGAGCTGCTTCGGATCGCCTCTGGCCCTGGAGGGGCTCGGTGGCAGGCGCGGACGCCGCAGTCTCCCCCTCGAGCTCTGCAGTATTCATTCAACGTCATCGTCATCATTTGATATTTGATGTCCTTCCTTGTCCTCTTCTCCCTCTCCTTGTGCGCTGTGCCCGACTTCACTGTTTTGGCCACGGTCCCCGTGGCACCTGCCTTGCAGCCTCACCCGTCCGCGCGGGCGGTGAGGCACTGCCTTCAGACCGCCTGCAGCTGCAGGCCCAGCTGACGCTTCGGGTGTGTGCGCCCAGTAGCCTGCCGAAGAAAAAGGAGGAGGAGAAGGAGGAGGAGGAGGAGGAGAGAGGACAGAGGAGAGGAGAGAGGAGAGAGGAGAGCGAAGGAGGAGGAGGAGGAAAGGAGGAGGCAAGGACGAGGCGGAGGAGGAGGAGGAGGAGGAAGAGGGAGAGGAGGAGGAGGAGGAGGAGGAGAAGGAGGAGGAGGAGGAGGAGGAGGGGGAGGAGGAGGAGGAGGAGGAGGAGGAGGAGCTTGCCACGCCATTCCCCCCCCCCCCCCCCTCGCGGGGGCGGGGCGGGGGCCTCTCCCACGGCCGCTGCTGGCGCAGCGGGGCGCGCTGCCTCCGGGGCGCGCCGCGGGGTTGCCCGACGGGCGCGAGGGTCGAGGACGGAGGGTCGCGATCTGAGGCTCGAGGCTCGAGGTGTGTGGATTGAGGCATGAGGGCCGAGCTGTCAGGCTCGAGGGTCGAGGTCCCAAGGCCGATAGTCGAGGTCCGCAGATCCTCGAGGTCTGAAGGTCGTTGGCTGTTTCTATAGACGTGAACAGATCCGATCTATGCATATACGTGTATAGATACACATAAATATGTATGTATATCCATATATCTCGTCCGATTGATCAGACCATCAATGTAACTATCTCTAGCTATGCTTCACGTTGCCAGTTTAACTATATTCATGTAGTAATATTTGCAACTATCTATCCATCTATCTATAAATCTATCTATATGTATATATATGTTTATATATAAGTACGTATACATATATATATATATATATATATATGTATATGTATATATATATATATAGATATCCATGTGTATATATATACATATATTATATATAGAATATATATATATATATATGTATATATATATATATATGTAACCCCATGCCCACGATAATAAGGTACCCCCCCTTAGGTCGTTAGAGTTTTTATCGTCGGCCAATAAGAGTTTGGTCGGGGGCGCGGGGCGCGGAGGCCAAACTTCATTATCACCTCGGAACGTTATGTTGAGATAGCAAGATCAAGTTATGTTGAAATAGCAACATCAAGCGAAGCGATCACACTTTTTTCAGGATGTCTCAAGCGAAACCAAGAATTTTGGGAGGCAGGCTCAAACGAAACGAGCAATGTTTCAAGGATGTCTCAAGCGAAACCAGTAATTCTGTGAGGATGTCTCAAGCGATTCGAGAAGCTTGTCGAGGATGTCTCAAGCGAAACAAGCATATACTCGAGGATGTCTCGAGCGATTCGAGAAGCTTGTCGAGGATGTCTCCAGCGAAACAAGCATATACTCGAGGATGTCTCAAGCGAAACAAGCATATACTGAAGGATGTCTCAAGCGAAACGATACGTTTCTTAAGGATGTCTCAAGCGAAAACAACAATTCTGTGAGGATGTCCCAAGCGAAACCAAGAATTTTGGGAGGCAGGCTCAAACGAAACGAGCAATGTTTCAAGGATGTCTCAAGCGAAACCAGCAATTCTGCGAGGATGTCTCAAGCGATTCGAGAAGCTTGCCGAGAATGTCTCAAGCGAAACAAGCATATACTCGAGGATTGCTCTTGTTATTCCTCGTATCTTCTCCTTCGTTTTTTCTTAATTTATATTTTTTTATGTCTTTATATATGTATGTATTTCTTTATTGTTTTCCTATCTCTCCCCATGCCCCCCTGAACGTGTTTATTCCTGGTGTTTATTATCCATGGCAGGTGAGGCACATGAGCTACCCTACACGAGCACTCAAAAACATCATTTTTCAGAAAGCGTTTGTACATTGAATCTAATATATTTGGAACTTGAAATGTTTGATCTTTGTCGTCCTCTTCTCTTCTCCTTCTTTTTTCTTAATTTATATGTTTACTTCTATATATGTATATATATTTGTTTATTTCTTTCGTTTTTTCCTCTCTCTCCCCATGCCCCCCTGAACTTGTTTATCCCTGGTGTTGATTATCCATGGCAAGTGAGGCACATGAGCTACCCTACACGAGCACTTAAAAAATTTAATGTTCATAAAGCGCTTGTAAATAAAAAAATAATACATTTGAATCTTCAGATTTTTTGGTTTGATCCTCCTTTCCTCTTCTCTTCTACTTCTCCTCCTCATTTCTTCTTGTCCTTTTCCTTTTTAATACTTCTTTTATGTATTTCCCTCAACTCTCTCTTTGTTTTCTTTATGTCTCTCTTTATATCTTTCTCTCTCCCCATGCGCCCCTGAACTTGTTTATCCCTGGGGTTGATTACCCACGGAAAGTGAGGCACATGAGCTCCTACACGAGCACTTTTTAAAAAACAACAACAATTTTCATAAAGCGTTTGTATATAAAATATAACAGATTTGGAACTTGAGTTTTTTTGTTTTTCCTCTTCCTCACCTCTTCTACTTCTCCTCTTGATTTTTTCTGATCCTCTTCATTTTCATTATTTCTTCTCTCTCTCTCTTTCTTTCTATCTCTCTGTCTCTTTCCCCCCCCCATGCCCCCCTGAACTTGTTTATCCCTGGGGTTGGTTATCCATGGAAAATCTGATAGTTTTTGTTTGTTTTGTTTTTATTATTTCCTCTCTGTTTTTGTTTCTCTCTCTGTTTCTCTATCTCTCTCTCTCTCCTCTTGCTCCTCTTCTGTCTTCTCCTTTCCTCTCCTCCTCTCCTTCCTCTCTTGCGTTTCATTATATCCTCTTCTTCTCTCTCTCTCTCTCTCTCTCTCTCTTTCTCAATTTTCATAAAGCGTTTCTAAAAAATCTGATGGATTTGAAACTTGAAATGTTTGCTTTTCCTCCTCCTCCTCCTCTATCTGTCTTTCTTTATATATAGCTTCTCTTCTTCTTATTATTATGCTTATTATTCTTCTTCTTTATTAAAAAGTTTTTTCCATTTTTCTGCGAAATGTGTTATATCTTTCTTATGTTTAAAACATATGTCTTTTTATCTTCTTTTTTGTCCTTCTCTCTCTCTCTCAGCAGAACCCCCCAGCACAACCCTCCAGCACAACCCTCCAGCACAACCCTCCAGCACAACCCTCCAGCACAACCCCTCAGCACAACCTCTTGAGGTTTATTATCGTCGGCATTTTTTTATCATCGGCAGTGGTCGATAGCAACTCCTGAGCTCTCCGGGAACACGGCGGCACGCAAATGATACGCATGTTTTTGAAACACTTCATTTTGGAAAAATATATATATTATTTAATTGCGAATTCCTTTGAAATCTTTTCGAATTTGCGAGATCGAGCCGTCAGGCGCTTGAATGCCGCACTGCGTTCGAGATTTAGGCGAAAGCGTGTGCGACGCAATTTTCTCATGACACGCTTTTTTTTTTTGAAAAACCTTATTTTGACAAAAAATACTATATTTGGTTGCGAAGTCCATTGAAATCCTTTCGAAATTGCGAATTCGAACCCGCACGCGCCTGAATGCCACACTGCGTTCGATATTCGGGCAAAAGCGCGTGCGACGCAAATTTCTCATAAATGCGTCGCGTGCTTAAATCTCGAACGCAATGTGGCATTCAAGCGCCTGACGGCTCGATTTCGCAATTTTGACAGGATTACAATGGAATTCGCAATTAAAAAAGTTTGTTTTTTTCAAAATGAAGTTTTTCAAAAAATGCGTATCATTTGCGTGCCGCCGTCTTCCAGGAGAGCTCAGGAGTTGCGATTGACCACTGCCGATGATAAAAAACTGCCGACGATAATAAACCTCAGCCGATGATAAAAAAACTGCCGACGATAATAAACCTCAGAGGAGCGCACGGCGGGAGAGAGAGAGAGAGAGAGAGAGTCTCACCCCTCTCTCTCTCTATCCCTCCCTCTCTCCTCTTTCTCTCACGATCTCTCTCTGCTCAAGGTGAGCTGCTGAAGCAGTGCTGCTCAAGCAGATGGCTGCTCAGAGAGCAGAACCAGACAATGAGACCATCGAGAATAAAAAACACAATTATTTCGAGGATGCCTCAAGCGAAATAAGCAATAGTTTGACGGTGTCTCAAGCGAAATAAGCAATAGTTTCAGGATGTCTCAAGCGAAATACGCAATAGTTTCAGGATGCTCAGGCGAAATCAGCAATAGTTTGATGACGTTTCAAGTGCAACACACAATTAGTTCGAGGATGTCTCAAGCGAAATAAGCAATAGTTTGACGGTGTCTCAAGCGAAATAAGCAATAGTTTGTGGATGTCCCAAGCGAAACAAGGGATTTGTCGAGGATGTCTCCAGCGAGAAAAAGCCATTGTTGAGGATATTTTAATGAAGACTAAACGCCAATGATGTCTCAAAACGTGCTCGGTTTGGTCTCCTCTTGATCATCTCTTACTTCGAGATTATGCTGAGGTCTGGTGGGCTACTTTGATTATCTCCCCCTGAACCCCGAACTTTATTATCCCCTAGAATTTATTATCGTGAGCATGGGGTTATCTACCTATATATCTATCTACCTATCTATATATCTATCTATCTATATATCTATATAGCTATCTATATACCTATATATCTATCTGTATATCTATATATATATACCTACCTATATATCTATCTATATATCTATATATCTATCGATCTATATATCTATATACCTATCTATATATATGTATATCTATCTATCTATCTATATATATATATATATCTATCTATCTATCTATCTATATATCTATCTATCTATCTATCTATCTATCTATCTATCTATCTATCTATCTATCTATCTATATAAGTTATCAATCTAGGAACTGTCCAAATCGATCGAACTGGACAAACTATACACGAACGTTGACGCCGCCGTCGAGAAGCGCTGCACGCCCGGCCCCCCAGGTACGAATCGGGACCTGCCCCTGAACATCCCTGGCCCCGATGGCTAGACGCCGAATTATCCGAGAGATAACTCCGGTCTGGGGAAACTCCGGTTTGGGCCCCCAGGCACCTCTGACCCCCCCCCCCCCCCTTGCCCCGATGATTCGGAAATGGCTGGACGCCCGAGTTATCAAGGCGATGACTCCAATCTGGGGCAACTCCGTTCTGGGCCCGCAAGGCACGCATCTGGAGCTGCTCCTGACCATCCCCCAACCCCGACGATTCGGAAATGGCTGGACGCCCGAATTATCCCGGAGAGAACTCCACAATTCTGGTCTGGGCACCCGAGACATGCATCAAGTGCTACTCCTGACCACCCCCAGCCCCGATGATTCGGCAGTGGCTGGACGCTCGAGTTATGCAGGAGAAAACTCCGGTCTGGGGCAACTCTGGTTTGGGCACCCGAGACGCGAGTCAGGAGCTACCCCTGACCACCCCAGTCCCGATGATTGGGAAATTGCTGGACGCCGCAGTCATCCGGGAGAAAAAATCGGTCTGGGACAACTCCAGTTTGGGCCCCCGATGTACGAATCAAGAGCGCTACTCCTGACCAACCCCAGTCCCGATGATTCGGAAGTGGCTGGACTGTCCTCCCCAATTATCAGGGAAAGAAATCCGCCGACCCCTTGGGGATCATCGGCGTGTGAGATGCTTCCCCCTCCCCAAACCCCTCCCCCGGGAGCCCGGTCCGGTCGATTTGGAGGGGGGGGGGGGGTCCGGGACGAGCGCTCCACGGGGCGGGGGGGTCCGGGACGAGCGCTCCACGGGGCTTTTCCTGGCCCAAGAGGGCTTCAAGACGGGCCACGAAGCCCCCAAGAGGCCTCCAAGACGGCCCACGAAGGCTCCGAGAAGCCAAACGACCGCTCCAAGACGCCCACGATGGCCCCAAGACGGGCCAAGAGGTCTCCAAGACGGCCCCTGAGGTCCCAAATGAGCCTCCCAAGAGGGCCCAAAGAGTCAAAAATTGGTGATTTTCCAGAGTGTTTTTCGATGTTTTTTGCTTTTCCGCCTTTCCGGCTTCCCGGCGCTCCAAGACGGGCAAAGAGGCCCCAAAGATAGCCCCAAGATGGCCCAAGAGGCCCCCAAGACGGCCTCCAGACGGCCCAAGACGGCCCCAAGACGGCCCAAGAGGTCCCCAAGACGGCCCAAGAGGGCCGATTTGGAGGGGGGGAGGGGGCCGGGACGAGCGCAGCACGGCCGGGACGAGCGGTTCCAGGGCTTTTCCGGGCCCAAGAGGGCCTCAAGACGGGCCAAGAAGGCTCCAAGAGGCCTCCAAGACGGCCCACGAAGGCTCCGAGACGCCAAACGACCCCTCCAAGACGCCCGAGATGGCCCCAAGACGAGCCAAGAGGTCTCCAAGGCGGCCCCCGACGTCCCATACAAGTCTCCCAAGAAGGCCCCAAGAGTCTAAAATTGTTGATTTTCCATAGTGTTCTTCGACGTTTTTTGCTTTTCCGCCTTTCCGGCTTCCCAACGCTCCAAGACGCGCGACGAGGCCCCAAAGATAGCCCCAAGATGGCCCAAGAGGCCCCCAAGACGGCCTCCAGACGGCCCAGGACGGCCCCAAGACGGCCCAAGAGGTCCTCAAGACGGCCCAAGAGGGCCGATTTGGAGGCGGGGAGGGGGCCAGGACGAGCGCAGCACGGCCGGGACGAGCGGTTCCAGGGCTTTTCCGGGCCCAAGAGGGCCTCAAGACGGGCCAAGAAGGCTCCAAGAGGGCCCACGAAGGCTCCGAGACGCCAAACGACCCCTCCAAGACGCCCAAGATGGCCCCAAGACGGGCCAATAGGTCTCCAAGACGGCCCCCGAGGTCCCAAACAAGCCTCCCAAGAAGGCCCCAAGAGTCTAAAATTGTTGATTTTCCATAGTGTTCTTCAGCGTTTTTTGCTTTTCCGCCTTTCCGGCTTCCCAACGCTCCAAGACGCGCGGCGAGGCCCCAAAGATAGCCCCAAGATGGCACAACAGGCCCCCAAGACGGCCTCCAGACGGCCCAGGACGGCTCAAAGACGGCCCAAGACATCCTCAAGACGGCCCAAGAGGGCCGATTTGGAGGGGGGCGGGGCCCCTCCAAGACGCCCAAGATGGCCCCAAGACGGGCCAAGAGGTCTCCAAGGCGGCCCCCGACGTCCCATACAAGTCTCCCAAGAAGGCCCCAAGAGTCTAAAATTGTTGATTTTCCATAGTGTTCTTCGACGTTTTTTGCTTTTCCGCCTTTCCGGCTTCCCAACGCTCCAAGACGCGCGGCGAGGCCCCAAAGATAGCCCCAAGATGGCCCAAGAGGCCCCAAAGACGGCCTCCAGACGGCCCAGGACGGCCCCAAGACGGCCCAAGAGGTCCTCAAGACGGCCCAAGAGGGCCGATGTGGAGGCGGGGAGGGGGCCGGGACGAGCGCAGCACGGCTGGGACGAGCGGTTCCAGGGCTTTTCCGGGCCCAAGAGGGCCTCATGACGGGCCAAGAAGGCTCCAAGAGGCCTCCAAGACGGCCCACGAAGGCCCCGAGACGCCAAAGGACCCCTCCAAGACGCCCAAGATGGCCCCAAGACGGGCCAAGAGGTCTCCAAGACGGCCCCCGAGGTCCCAAACAAGCCTCCCAAGAGGGCCCCAAGAGTCTAAAATTGTTGATTTTCCATAGTGTTCTTCGATGTTTTTTGCTTTTCCGCCTTTCCGGCTTCCCGGCGCTCCAAGACGGGCAAAGAGGCCCCAAAGATAGCCCCAAGATGGCCCAAGAGGCCCCCAAGACGGCCTCCAGACGGCCCAGGACGGCCCCAACACGGCCCAAGAGGTCCCCAAGACGGCCCAAGAGGGCTCCAAGACGGCACCACGAGGGGCCCAAGAGGGCGACCAAACATGTTGAAACTCTAGCTTTCTGCCCCCAGGAGCCCCAGGGGGCCCCAAGAGTGCCCCAAGAGGCCCCCAGAGGCCCTCACGAGGCCGCCCAGACGCCCCAAGGAACCCCCAAGAAGCACCCCAGAGGCTCCGAAACGGCCCCCGAGTGGCTCCAAAACTCGCAGTGTCGCTGTCCGCTCGGACCTCCCCGCGGAACTGCCCGAGACCCTCTGGCGGTGGCGGCGAACAGACACCAAACAAATATCACTCGCCTTTTCACCCCTTCGCAGCTTCTACTACCCCCAGATTGGCATAAACAAGGGGTCGGCGGTGTGGCGTAAGCCTAAGAATCTGGTCTGGGGTAACATTGCACAAATCAGGAGCTACCCCTGACCACTTCCAAACCCGATGATTCGGAAATGGCTGGACGCCCGAGTTATCCGGGTGATAACTCTGGTCTGGGGCAACTCCGTTCTGGGCGCGCGAGGCACGCATCTGGAGCTGCTCCTGACCCCCCCCCACCCCAGCCCCGATGAGTCGGAGAAGGCTGGACGCCCCTACCGTCCGTGAGAGAACTCTGCAACTCTGGTCTGGCCCCCGAGGCACGCATCAGGAGCTACCCCTGACCAACGCCCCCCAACCCCGATGATTCGGAAGCGGCTGGACGCCCGAGTCATCCGGGAGAGAACGCCAGCCTGGGGCAACTTCAGTCTGAGCCCCGCGGCACGCATCGGGAGACTCCCAGCAGGCCTCGTGCTGGGAGAGTCCCCGCGCCTGCCCCCCCAAGGGCCGCCCCCCTTCGCACTCCCGTTCGACCCGCAGGCCCATTGGCGACATCGCCGCCCAGCAGGCGATCGACCGATCGGTCCGACATGACTGGGGTCCCCGCGCCGATCGATCCCAGCGGGCCGAGCGGCCGCGGCAGAGAAGGGCGGGTGCGGGGGCCGTGGGCACCGGGCAGGACTGACTGGGGCCGAGGGGCACACACGAGCACGGAGATAACTTAGACACACATCCCGGCACATCCCAGGATTCCCCGCGCTTGTCCACAGACCTTACGGGAGTTTCGTCCTCCCCTCGGCTTCCCACGTGTTGGCAATCTCTCCCAATGGCAATCGGCGAATAATTTGTGCCTGTGTGTCGTTTCCCCCCTGAAGGCCGGAACGAGATTTTGGACGTGCGAAATGGGTGCGCAAAAACTTGGCACAATGCCCAAACGCAACATGTTCTCCAAGACCGACAGCGGCCGCTGTTGGGCAGGCCCGCGGCGGCGCGGACGGCGAGCCCTGTCCAGAATGAGCCCGAACTGCTGCTGGGCACTGCACTCCTCCTTCTTTCCCTGCCCACTCCGATCGCCCCGAGAGATCGGATCGCGAGGAGGTCGCAACTCGGGTCGGGCGAAAGGGGAGATAGCAAAGGGGGGGTTTGAGAATCAGCTCACGTAGCTGACTTTCCCGGCGCCTATGTATCGAGGAATGGGCCCCTCGGTGAGGCCGATGTCCGCCGATCCGGCGTGTGAGTTTCTGAGAGCGTGGGCTTGAGCTCGCTCAAGCTTCGCTCTGCCGAGGGGGGGGGACCTCATTTCCGACCTATTTCCGACCTAATTTAGTGCTTCGCCCCACCCCCCCCTCCAGAGCGGACCCCCCCCCTCCTGCAGAGGCCCCCCCCTCCCCCCCCCCCTGCAGCCCAGCCCCCCCCCCCCCCCCTGCAGAGCGGACCCCCCCCCTGCAGCCCTCCCCCCCTCTCAGAGCGGACCCCCCCCCTCCCCTGCACCCCCCCCCTGCAGAGCTGAGCAGACCCCCCCCTGCCGAGCGAACCCCCCCTGCAGCCCCCCCCCCCTGCAGAGCGGACCCCCCCCCTCCCTCCCCCCTCCCCCTGCAGAGCAGACCCCCCCCTCCTGCACCCCCTCCCCCTGCAGAGCGACCCCCCCCCCCTCCAGAGCGGACCCCCCCCCCGTGCAGCCCAGCCCCCCTGCAGAGCGGACCCCCCCCCCTTCCTCTGCACCCCCCCCTGCAGAGCAGACCCCCCCTCCTGCAGCCCCCCCCCCCCAGAGCGGACCCCCCGTCTCCCCCCAGCCCCCCCTCTGCCGAGAGCAGAGCCCCCCCCCCTGCAACCCAGCTCCCCCCCCGTCGTCGTCGTCGTCGTCGTCGTCGTCGTCGCGTCGTCGTCGTCGTCGTCGTCGTCGTCGTCGTCGTCGTCGTCGTCGTCGTCGTCGTCGTCGTCGTCGTCGTCGTCGTCGTCGTCGTCGTCGTCGCTCGCGTCGTCGTCGTCATCGCCGTCGTCGTCGTCGTCGTCGTGGTCGTTGTCGTCGTCGCTCTCGTCGTCGTCGTCGTCGTCGTCGTCGTCGTCGACGTATTCGTTTTCGTCGTCGTTTTCGTTTTCCTCGTCGCCGTTCATTTCCACAGGCACCCGGAGCGCCCCAGATCGGCGGCACTGGCCGGAGGCCACCACAATATCGAGGAATGGGCCCCTCGTTGAGGCCGAAACCAGCTGCACGCAGCAGATTTCGTACCCCCCCCCTTTCCCAATCCCCCCCTTTCGTCCAGCCCGAGAAACGCATCGGATCGCCGGCGAGCCGTCCCGGCGGAGCCTTCGCCGCCGGCCGCCGCGGTGCTGCTGCTTCTCCGGCAGCAGCGGCGCCTGAGGCGGGCACGCGCGCGCTCGGAGGGGCGCCCTGCGCCCGGGGCACCGCCGGCAGGCGCGAGCGCCGCGAGGGCAGAGGGGTGACAGGGAGGGGAGGGGGCAGGGCGAGGGGAGGGGAGGAGGCAGGACTCCCTCCCCATCGCCATCCCCTGCTCTACAATTACTCAATATGAATACTACTCTCCCTCTTCCCCCGATGGCGGCCTGAAAGTAGCCGACCCCCCCCCCGCGTCCTGCTTTTTTACACACAGGATTCCCGGGGGGTGGGTTTTCGCCTGCATTTGTTTTCAAAATGCTGCTCTCGCCGAGGCGCTGGCCTCATTTTCGGGCCCCGCTCATTCCGAATCGTGTTCCCGCTGCAGCGCTGGCGTCATTTCCGTGTTTCCGCTCGTTCCGAATCGTGCTCCCGCTGCAACGCTGGCCTCGTTTCCGCGCTTCCGCCCGTTTCGACTCGTGTTCCCGCTGCAGCGCTGGCGTCATTTCCCGTGCCATGCCACAGCACACGCGCACACACGCACACACACACACACCACCACCACCACCACCACCACCGCCACCACCACCACCACCACCGCCACCACCGCCACCACCACCACCACCACCACCACCACCAGAACCAGCACCAGCACCAGCACCAGCACCAGCACCAGCGCCAGCACCAGCACCAGCACCAGCACCAGCACCAGCACCAGCACCAGCACCACCACAACCACGCACACACGCACGCACGCACGCACGCACGCGCACCACCACCCACTAGTCCGCGGATAGAGAAAATCAACGCCATGGTAAGGGATGGGAGGGAGGAGTAGGACGTCAAGTATGACGCGCGCGCACCTACCTTGTCTCACTCCCCTCCCTTACATCCACACCCTCCCTGCCACCCCTCCTCCTCCCCCTCCTTCCCCTCGCTCCCTTCTTCTCCCCCCCTTCCCCTCCCTGCCACCCCTCCCGTCTTCATTCCCCGCGGCGCCCTGCGCCCAGAGTGCCGGCGGCAGGCGTGCGCGGGGGCTGACCTCCACTGGCGGCCCGGCGACAAAGACGGCCCAATATGACTCCGAAGTGGCTCCGGGATGGCCCCGATGGCCCAAGGTGGCTCCCAAGATGGCCCACGCACATTTTACGTCGGAGCATGGCAAAGGCAATATACACAACCAAAATACACAACATACTCAGATACAGACAGAAACACACGCAGACGCAGACGCAGACGCAGACGCACACACAGACACATACGCAAACAACAGCAAACACACACAAGCACGCGCACGAGCAGCACGCACACGCGCACGCACACGCGCACACGCGCACACGCGCACACGCGCACACGTGCACACGCGCACACGCGCACACGCGCACACGCGCGCACGCGCACACGCGCACACGCGCACACGCGCACACGCGCACACGCGCACACGCGCACACGCGCACACGCGCACACGCGCACACGCGCACACACGCACACACGCACGCATGCATTTTTTGGTCGCGGCCGCTAGCAAGAGCGCAGGCGGCGAGAGCAATTGTCCGGGGCGGCGAACAAGGCTAATTCGCTACAAGACGCGCCGCAAGCGGGCCGGCCCACTCACCAAGCAGCAGCGGGGCTGCGCGGGAGGCTGACAGCTGGGGGCGTTCAGGGAAGCTCAGGCGCGTGCAGTCTGACAAAATGCAAAGAAATTTTGTGCAAGCCGTGAGGCATAACCCACACAGACGACCTTGACGTGCACTGGTGCCGACGTGTCCATCATGCTGGGTGGGCGCGCAGGCGCGAAGACCGATGGGCGAGTCGCCAGTGGGGCGCCAGGCCCAGGGCCGTCCCAACGGCATGTGCGGGCTAGGGGGGCTGAGCTGCCGAGGGACGTCGCAAACCTGCCTGAGGGGCGGATGGGTCCAGGTGCTGTTGCGACTGCAGAAAGCTAAACCAATACCCAAGGGGCCACCATCCAGTGCCCGAGGGAGGCCCGGACGTCAGTGGGCCGGCCCCTCCAGCAACGGCACGGGGCCGGCAGGCGTGGTGAGCATCGCCATCGAGGCAGGGGGATCCAGGGAGAGGCTGCACTAAGGGCACAGCAGCTGCCGCCTGATGTGCGCCGAAGGCCACCGTGGGACTGCCTCATCCGCCGAATCCGCCATTCCCCGCAGGGAACCAGGGTCTCCGTCGAATCAGTCATTCCACGCGGGCGTCCAGGGTCGCAGCGAACCGCCGCTGAAGGTGAGGTAAAGTTACCGCTGTCAGCGGGGGTTCTGAGCGGCCGAAAATGCAAAGGCTGACCCACTCGGAGCTGGCTGTGCCTCCAGGGACCGCGTGCGACATAAGGCCAAGCTGGTGGGAAGACCATTGCCAGCAGGGTGGGGCGTCCGGGGTGCAGCTGCTTTCGCAGCCGCGTGGTGCCGCAGGCCACCATGGGGCGGCCTTGTCCGCCGCGTCCGCCATTCCCCGCGGAAATCCAGGGCCGCCGTCAATCCACCATGCCACGCGGGCCTCCAGGTTCGCACCTAGCCGCCGCTGAAGGTGAGAAGACGTTGCCACGGACAGCGAGGGTCCAGGGCGGCCCTGGGGAGGGGGGCGAAGCCGTCGAGGCCAGCCGACACGCCTGGCGAAGCCCGGCCAGAAGGGGGCCCGGAGGGGGGGGGCGGCGGGGGGACGCGACAGAGGACGCGACTGACCACCCCCGCGGAGGGGCACCACGGGGGCGCCCTGCGAGGGAAGCGCAAGGAACCGTGCCCCGAAGGCCGAGGGCGGGGGGCGCGCGCGGAGGGACCCGATGGGAGAGGCGACGGGGACGAACATCACCGCCCCTCGGACGGGCCCCAGGTATGTCCAAGGGACACGGCCGCCATTCTCGAGGATCCTCCAGGGTCGCAGCTAACCGCCGCTGAAGTGCAAGTAGTACCGAATGGTATACAGTTTGTCCGATGTTGGTGTGGTCCATAGTGGGCAACCTGCCATGATGCAGGCTGGTCTGCCCACGCGGAGGCCGGAACCTCTGCGGGGGCGGTTTGTGTTGGTTCCTCCAGGGTCGCAGCTAACCGCCGCTGATGTTCGGGCGCCTGCGGTGTAACAAAACTGGGACCTAGACCTAGCTAGGTCGAGCTCGCGGCCAAGCAGGCGGGGGGGTGCCGGGGCTTGCCGCCCGCCCAGGGCCCGCGAGCCGGCCGTCTTCATCGGGCAGCAAAGTCTGGAAGCTTGGGGGGCCTGCTGGCGTGAGCCAGGCGGGCCCCGCAGGGTCAGTGAGGGTGAGATGTCGGGTGTAGGTGGGGGCCCCCCAATGGCAGGCCCGAAAAGGCGGCGGGTGGTCCACTCATCCAGCGTGGGCTGTCTAGCTAAGCTGCGCCGCGGGTGAGATGTGGGGGTGAGCCTTCGCCCCGGCGGAGGGCGGCCCCGGGCATTGCGGCCTGGGCCAGGCGCAGCAAGGTGAAACAAGCCCCCTACGGGCTACGGGTGGCTGGAGGTGGGGGGGCCATGTGTCCACTCTGGGCAGGTCCCTGTGTCTGGGCGCTGAGGTAGGCCGCGTCGGGAGCACGTCAACCTTGGGCGTCGGAGTCACACTTGACCCACCAGCGGGCCCGCTTGTCAGAGTCGCGGTCGCCCCCACGTGGGGAGTATCTGTCGCCCCTGCCTTTCCAGTCGGAGTCCGCCCATGGGGTATCTCGCCGCTCCCACGAGGACCACTCTTGCCAGCCCCGCCACTGGCTGGGGGTGGCAGTTCCAATGGCTCCAGCCCAGGGGTCCTGTGCTGCTGCACTCGTGGCCGTTCGGCTCTCGGCAGTCCAGGGAGCTGGCATGCCGCGACTGCCGTGCTCGCGTGGGGCGTGTGCGTGAGCGTCGCGCCGCGCGGAATTCATGTGCTTGTCCCGAACTGCGACCCAGTCTACGCCGAGTCTGAGTTTCCGATCCATCCGATCTGCGTCGTAACCAGCGTTGGCCCATGCTTCCAGGAAGTCCGCGCGCGTCGTGGGTGCGTTGAGTTTGGGATTGCTCTTATAGCCTCCCTTGAAGTCCTGACTCAGGGCAGCCCGCTTAGCCCACGCATGCCAGATAGCGTTGAAGGAGCCTCCCAATGTCTTCTGCAGACGTGTAAGTTTGTCCTGGATGGGTTCGTTCCTTTCCACGTCTGCGGCTGCAATAGTGCATCTGTACATGGGGCCGCCACCCGTGGGTCGCTAAGAATCACGTAGTATGGCCGGGCATCCCCGCTGTCCTTGCAGGGCGCCCAGCGGGCCTCCGCGCGCGCGCGCGCGCACGCACGCGCGCACGCACGCACGCACGCACACGCGCACACACGCACACACGCACGCGCGCACACACGCACACACGCAGACACGCACACGCGCACACACGCACACACGCACACACGCACACACGCACACACGCACACACGCACACGCGCACGCACGCACGCGCGCACACACGCACACACGCACGCACGCACACACGCACACACGCACACACGCACAGACGCACAGACGCACACGCGCACACACGCACGCACGCACGCACGCACACACACGCAACACACGCACACACGCACACACGCACACCGCACACACGCACACACCACACACGCACACACACGCACACACCACACACGCACACGCACACACACGCACACACGCACACACGCACACACGCACACACACCGCACACACGCACACAGCACACACACGCACACAACAGCACGCACGCACACCAACACACGCACACACGCACACACGCAACACGCCCCAACACGCACACACGCACGCACGCACGCACGCACACACGCACACACGCACACCGCACGCACGCACACACGCCGCACGCACACACACACACACGCACGCTCGCACACACGCACACACGCACACACAGACCGCACGCACACACGAAGCACGCACACACGCACACGCACACGCACACACGAACACACGCACACACGCACGCACGCACACACGCACACACGCACGCACGCACACACGCACACACGCACACACGCACAGACGCACACACGCACACGCGCACGCACGCACGCACGCACACACGCACTCACGCACACACGCACACGCGCACACACGCACACGCACACACGCACACACGCACACGCGCACGCACGCACACGCACACACGCACGCACGCACAGACGCACGCACGCACGCACGCACACACGCGCACACGCACACACACTCACGCACGCACATCCAGAACGCATATGGCTGAATGGTTAGTTGAAAGATCGGCTTCTTTACTTGCGCTCTGATGGGATCGGCCGCGAGCCATGGCCTCGTCACCACCTTCCAGACTTCGAACACGAAGGGGTCGTCGTTGTCTGGGACCGCGACGCTGTAGAAGCAGCGGGGGTGAATCACTGCACCCAGGTAACTCTGCTTCAAGCTGGCCCCCTGGTCGGCAGGCAAAGGGGCCCCCCCGTGGGGCACGACCGGCGCTGCATCGCGCCCAGGTGACAGGGGAAGGCCATCGCCGCCATCGCCAGCATCTCCGCAGCCCACTGGCGGCGCCTCGCCTGCGTCAGCGCCATCTGCAACGTCCGCTATCGCAATCGCGGCTGCAGCAGCGCCCCCCGGCATGATCTCTGCCCAACCTGAATGGTTGAACTCGCCGAGGCGATGTGCTCGCCGAGTGCACCGACGAAGCAGTGTCTTGGCGCGCTTCAAGGAAAACTTGCTTTTCGTCTGCAACGCCCTCGCCGCGCGTCGAACCTCGCAATCTAGACGCGCCCCCCCCTCGGGGCAGCCCTCGAGCATCGCCGCGACACCCGGGTTTCCCCGGGCCCTGTTGGAGAACAGCAGCCACGGCAAGCGAGAGACGCCGCCGCGAGTTTTGCTGAGCTTGGTTGACATGATGGCCATCAGCAACCCGGGGTGACAGCGGGGCCCCCCGAAAAGCGTCGACTTGCTCCTCCAGGCGGCCTGGGGCGTCGCCGCTGCCCTCGTCGGCGACGACGACCCCCCTGATGTTCTGCTCGAACCCGCCCATGAGCAAGACCGCCATTACGCGGCGGCCTCGCAGGGGAATCACTCCCCACTGCTGGGCGATTGGTCGGGTGACCGCCTGGCCCGCGGCACTAGCGAACAGGCGTGGAATCAGATCAATCCAATCGAATGTTTCCTTGAACTCTGGCAGGAAAAGCCTCGGGGCAAATGTCCGTTGCCGACGACCGGAGTTTCTGCCGCGCTAGTGAGTTCTGTCCTCAACTCTTGAAACCTAACAGATGCCTCTTGGAGCCGTCGGCCAGGCTGCTCACGCTTGACGCCCGCCCCCCTTCATCGGGTCTTCCTAGCGCACTGGGCGCGGGCAGGCTGCCGCCCAAGTCCTAATGCGCTCGATCGGCCTCGCCGCCGCGGTGAAGCCGCTCGCCCAGCGCCAGGCATGACTGTCACCCTTGTGCCTGAAAGCTTCGTTGAAGTCCTGCGCGTCCTGGGGCGCACAGAGCGCGCGAGGTCTGAGGAGCGCGCGCGCAACGCAAAGCCTGCTCAGTGCAACAAAACACACCCAGGAGCGTCTCGAACCTCCACTTGGCGAACGACGCAGAGGAAGATCTCAACATTTTCGAAAGGCCCCCGCGCCCCCTTGCTAGCAACCGAACCACAGGCGCCCCACGACTACTATCGCTTCGAACAAGTCTGCAGCGCGCCCGAAGAACGGCCAACATATTCTGCCATTCCTCCAGAGCCTGCAGCGACGCCTGGAGGCACCCAGAAATAAGATGATGCCAATCGGGGGCAGCCGCGCAGAACTCCAGCAGCCGATTGTACGACGCAAGCTTGGCCGAAACTTGAAGCCCAAGGCTGCTCGCAAAGACGCCCAGGCAGTTCCCCATATCTGCGATCAGACGCTCGTGGCCCGCGTCGGCTGCAATCGACAAACGATCTTCCAGGACGTGTCAAGCGTTTCCATGCGAGGGCCTGCAGTCGACCACAGCTGCCACAATCGTGCGAATGCCTTGTCCATCGCACCATGGTAGCCGTGGCCCAGGCGCGCGCCTGGCAACAAATGCCCCAACGCTGACGCGCCAGGCTGACGCGTCAGGAAGAAATATGTTGCACAAGCTACCAATGAGTTCCCCCCCCCCCCGAGTTCGGACTCGAGTCGGTGCGCAGGTGGATGGTCCGACGCCCGACTCTGGGCAAACCGTTGTTGAACAACCCAAAGAGCATATCGTCATATACATATGGGTAATGAGTTTTGAACGTAGCTTCGCTCTGCCTCTCCAAGTCTTCAAGCTTTCTCTGGAAAGCCGTGCGCCGAATGAATCGTAACATATGCAGCGGTACATGTGTTGTGCGACGGTCGCCGTCGTCAAAGTTGGCAGCGTCCCTCCAGTCATCTGGTTCTGACTCCGAAACAGACGCATCCTGCTTGCATTCTTTCATGCGAGACAGATGGGATCCGATGTCAGCTCGGCTGGGCTGCGATCCAAAAAGGACCTTCACGCGCGTGTTCCGCATAGGCAATTAATTGAACGGTGCAACATTCGCCAGGAAACCCTGCAATACAACGACCCCATCCAATAGATGCGACAAGGACTTCTGATACAATCACACCGACCCTCCGCAAGAACGCGGAAAGATAAAATGTCTCGGCGGATAGCCCGATGCACATGTCCAAGGCTCACACGACTCGCTGGACCTGGCAACATTTGGGGGTTGGAGCTTGCCAGACCAATGTACGGATATTCGAGCAGGCCGCTGTAGTTGCAGTATCTGCGCCGCCCTGCATCTGTTCTAAGAAGGGCTCGCGCAGCACTCAACTCTGCCGTGGACGGTGAAAACCTCCATTTCGGGACAGCGACACCCAACAAATACGTATCATCAGAATGTGGCAGCGAATCCTGGAAGAAGCCATTGTGCAAACAATACAAAAAGCCTCAGAATCGGATGGTTCAGGCTTGCCACAATCACCCAGATTCGCAACTGCAAACCGAAGCCCATGACCTCTCAAGAACCGTCGCCTTCTCGAACACTTTGCAACCCTGGGTTGGAGAAACTCAGGCGGATAACTCCGATGCGGGCGCGACACCCCGGAAGCAAAACTCACACTGGCCAGCACGGCTAAGGACGTGGGGCCGAGTGGCGTCAAAGCTTGTTTTGTGAGCAGTGATGCACTATGCAGTAATGCGCTATGATGATGCACGATGCTGTGATGCATTGATGCTTGCACAAATGTTACTAGGGACTATTGAATGTGAACTCTTCTCAAACAGCCCACAAGGCAAACAAGTAATTCAAACACTTCTGCCTTCACAAGGGACAGCTCAAACGTCGGCGGGGCCGAACTTACCCCACATAATATCCGAACATCATTCCGCATGGCCGAAGGCTCTCCAAGGCTGACGGAATTCTTCTTTCGAATTGTATGACGGCCTTCAAAACAAGAGGCAAGGAGAGAAGGGAGGAGCGAGAGGGATGAGAAAAGAAAAATAGATGGAGAGGGATTGGACGCGGGGGCAGAAATAATGCCAGGAATTGCCTATATCCCCGCGCCTCCCGCCCCCCACCGAACTCACTCCTGGCCTCCCTGGGCCTCCCCTGACCCCTAAGCGCGGACATCGCAGACCAACGTCGACAAGATCCCGCGACATCCTGGTCACGGCCATCGGGGAAACCAAATGGTGTACCTACACCGTGTACCGTTACTCCCCCGACATCTCCCTGGGTGTGTTCTGGCTAGAATTTCGGGGCGAATACAGGCGTGGCGACGAGGACCTCCCAGGAGGCCCAACAGGACGGAGCGCGAGGGAAGGGTAACGGCGGTAGCGGCATCGATGCCTTCTCTTCCCGCGACATCCATAGGTAAGCAACCCATGGCATAAACATAGAGACCCGGAGATCCACGCGAATGCCTCGGATCTGCGCTGGAACCCCTCCTTGGCGCACTCCGCGCGCCAGGGGCGGCGCCAGAGGCGCTACCAGGGGGCCCCAGCGCCGAGCAGAAAAAATCCGCGTGGACCTCAAAACTTTTCTGTTTATGCCGTTGTTTGTTTCCCGAGCCCTGGCCATGGTCCCCGTGCTCCTCCCCTCGACGCGGCGGTGCTCACAGGGGGGTCGGGGAAAAGTTGGGGGAGGCTTTTCAAAACCAGGAGTGCTTCTTAGATTCTAAGAAGCCTTCCCCCCTCCCTCATACCCCCCTTGCGCGCGTGGCCGATCCCCCCTCGGCAGCGAGCGAGGGGGGGGAAGGCCTTCTCAGAAAGCTCCGAAGCCCCACGGCCTTCTGAGACATCTTCGAACCATTCTCCGAAGACGCAAGCAGATGTTCAAAAGGAAGTCCCACCGCCTTCTGAAACATCGTTTTCTTACTCACATCCCCCCCCTGCGTTCGCCGCCGTTTCAGGGCTCGAAGTCTTCGGGGGCTTCTGTCGGCTCATGGATGGAGGTGTTTCTGAACTCCCGCAAGTTTACCCCCCCCCCCCTTCGCTCGCCGCCGACCCCCCTCGACGAGAGGACGAAGGCGGGAGAGGAGCGGCCCCGGGGGGGGCCTCGAAGACGGCCCCCAGCGCGCCCGCGGCCTGGCGCCCGGCCGCCTGCTGGTGGTCCTGCGGCCCACGCCCCCCCCACCCCCCCCGCCCTGGGCCTCCGTTCAGTGGTGGTGTTGGGGGCGCGACAGCAAGGACTAGCGTTAGGTCGGGCAGGTCCCCCTACAGGCGGAGGGAAAAACAAAAACAGCCAAACAATACTCCAACCTAATCGAACATCATTACAATAAACATATTCTTGAATATTCCTCATGTGCATGGACGCGCACGACTTGATATTACCGGTCCATGGGTTTGGTGCGCGGTAACCAAATCCAAGGATCGGGGGTGGCGCCCTCCCCCAAATGCTGCCTGTGCCGCCGCGGTCGGCGGCGGAAATCCGCGATTTCCCGCGGAAGCGGGGCCCGTCGCTAATCCACGCCGTTTGATCCATGTTTGCGATCGCCTGATGGCGGGCGGGGGATCTGGGCGCCCGGGATCGGGCACCGAGCGAGGAAGGGGAAGGTGAGAAGGCGGAGGTCTTCCCAGAAGGCGCCGGGTCTTCCCAGAAGCGCACGCCCCGCCGCCGCCCCCTCGCCCTCCGCCCCGCGACGGGCGGGAAAATCTCTGGACGCCCGAAATTCGGCTGCGAGCGAGGGCCCCGCGGGACCCAGGGGCTCCAAAGTGGAGAGTTGAGCTGGGGGCACCTTGGGCCAGGGGCGCCTCCTAGGTGTCAGCTCCTCACTACTGTAACAGAAAACAGGCGGGGCGCGCGATTCGAGGAGTGGCCCCCCTGCTCGGGCGAATCGCGGGGGGGGGGGCGCCCGTTAAATGGAAACGCGCAGCGGCGGCGCTGGTGATTGGCACCGACGCCCGGCCGACAGCAGGAGGGCGACAGGCGCGACGCAAGCGGCGCCGCTTCAGTAGGGAGGGGGACAATAGCGCCTCCGCTATAGCGGGGCGTCTGGGCCAAAGTGGCTACAGATAGGAGATGAAGAAGAGGCGGGGGAAAGAGGCGCCTCAGCTGGCGGCCAGTGCCAACATGGCTACAAACAAGAAGCGGCCAAGGGCGGGAGAAACGACATAGGCACGCGGAAAAGGCTCCTCCTTTTCCTTCTCCCCCCCGTCCACTACAATATCCTACGGCAACGACAGCGACGGCGACGGCGGACGACGACGACGAGGACAGCCACGACGACGACGACGACGTGACCACGACCACGACCACGACCACGACCACGACCACGACCACGACCACGACGACGACGACGACGACGACGACGACGACGACGACGACGACGACGACGACGACGACGACGACGACGACGACGACGACGACGACGACATCGATGACGACGACGACGCAGTACTGCGGATGCCCCATGGGGCGAGGAAGGCTCTGCGTAGGCCCGCTGTAATCGTCGCGTCGTCGTCGTCGTCGTCGTCGTCGTCGTCGCCCCCTCCCAGCCCCCCCTGGGATCGCCGCCGAGAAATGGGTACGGACAAAATGGGCACGATGCCTAACAACAAATGTCCTTCAACACCGGCAGCGGCCACTGTTGGGCAGGCGGCCTTCTGTCTCCAGGGGACGAGGCTCGCGGCGGCACCGACAGCAAATCTGATTCAAGATGGATAGGAACTGCTGTCAGTCTTCGTCTCCATTCTTTCCTGAGAGGCAACGATAGGAGGGGACTAGCATAGGGGGGGATGCATCGACCTGGAATCGGCGATGCATCACCGATAGATTGGCGATAGGCCTCCGGTATTGAATCCGCACCTTCCTGGGCAGGTTGGGGCTATCGGGCCCTTATCGTCGATCAATAGGCGATTGGGGGTCGATGCATACCCCGTATGTCTATCCCCCCCCCATCGTTGCCCCTGATTTCTGTACCCATGTCGATCGTACCGAGGAGGGCTCATCCAACTCCAGAGTTTGGTCGGCAGCGCTGGCGATCGCACGCGCGGGGGGGTCGGGACACTGGCGGGGCGCGTCGGGCGCGGGACGCGGAGGCGAGTGCAGGAGAAGAGGGCGGCCGCGGAGGAGGAAGACTAGACCTGACCCCGTTCACAAGCAGAGCCCAGATTTCCGAGGATACGATTTCCCCTCATAGCGTATCGATAGAGGCGAGGGGTCGAATGCTGATTCAGGCTTCAGGCGGGCCACAGAAGAGCCTAATGGTGGTCCAGGCGGGCCACAGAAGAGCCCACAGGGGGGCGGGGAACCCTAGACCGCCCAGACTGAACCTCCCCACAAATATTCCGAAATCGTGCTCTCGCCTGAATGCCGGCTACATGTTCGATGTGAACGGTCACGATCCCTTTACAAAACACACACACACACAATCACACAATCACGCAATCAATCACACACATACACACTTTTTGCGTCGGCGGCTAGGCAGAGGGGCTGACCTGGCGAAGTGGCACACACACATACACACAACACACAACATCAAACACACACACACACACACAACATCAAACACACACACACACACACACACACACACACGCACGCACGCACGCACGCACGCACACGCACACGCAACACACACACACACACACTCTCTCTCAAACACACACACACACACACTCACACACACACACACACACACACACACACACACGCACGCACGCACGCACGCACGCACGCACACACACAGAGACACACACACACACACACGCACGCACGCACGCACGCACGCACGCACGCACACGCACACGCACAAACACGCACACACACACACACAAACACACACACACACTCACACACACACACAAAGGTGCACATGACCGTGTCTGGGCCTCCTACTCCACGACCCGCCTCTGCATCTTCGCAGCTATTAGGGTGCTCTGCTGGGGCATATTTTTTGATCTGGGCGTTTTCCCTTGATTTCGGCCTCCACGGGGCGATTACAAGGCCCCAAGACCATCAAACACGGATGCGTGGCGAAAAATGGGTGGAAACCAGCAGGTACCGAAACCTGTGATCCCTGGACCTCTCCTGGGGTGCGTTGTGACAAGGATTTCGAGGCGAATCCAGCAATAGCGACGAGGGTCTCCAATGAGGCCACCCAATGGGGAACACGGGGGAAGAGTAGCGGTATCTGTCATTTTTCCTCCTCTGACGGTCGGGACCTCTGGGGCCGCGCATTGAAAAAAACATCCGCGGATGTCTGGGGAGGACAGACATCCGGAGGGCCCTCGAGGGTCTCCGTGGGTCTCCCAGGGCAGGAGAGCGCGGAATCGAAGCGGCATACCTCGGACTGGCGATCGAAGCGAATCGGATCGGCGGAAATCGGCAGCCGGGTCGGGAGAAGTCGAATCGGCGGAAATACGAGGCCCCGCTGCTCCACTGCGTCCTCCGCCTCCTCCACCTGCTCCTCCTCCCCCTCCCCCTCCCCCTTCTCCTCCTCGTCCTCGCCGTCGTCATCAGGGTCGACGGCCCCCACCGGCCGTAAGTCCTTCACAATCGGCAGTCGAGTCGGGAGAAGTCAAATCGGCGGAAATACGAGGCCCCACGAAGCATCCCTGAGGACGCTCCCCCACGTCAGCGTCGGCAGAAGTCGAAATAAGCCCTGCAGATGAGAAGGATGTGTGCGCAGCGGATGCCAAGCGCAAACAGAGAGAGAGAGAGAGAGAGAATCCCACCAGCCCAGGGGGCGTTTAGGCTGCAAGCTCTGCCACGCAGCAAATCAGGGCCACCCCTCCTTCCATCGATGTCCTCCACGATGGCCCCGAGAGGGCCTCGAAGGCTCCCTCCAGAATGGCCCCGAGAAGCTCCAGGGCGACAGACCCGCGAAGGCCCTCGTCGTCGTCATCGTCGTCGTCGTCGTCGCCGTCGCCGTCGTCGTCGTCGTCGTCGTCGTCGTGGTTGTCGTCGTTGTCGTCGTCGCAATCTTCCTCACACATCCTACTCCTCCTCCTCCTCCTCCTTCCCCAACCTCTTTCTGGTCGGTCCTCCTCCTCCTCCTCCTTCTCCTCCTCCTGCTCCTCACCCCTCCTCCTCCCCTTCCTTTCACGGCAGGCTCAGCGAGTCCGCTCCCGTGGCTGCTCGGGCCGATTCCTGTCCTCGGCCCTGGCGGCAGGCTCGCCTGCACGCTCCACCAAGTGCTCTCACACCCTTCCCTGGTCAAGGCCCAGGGCAAATCGTCCGGTGGCAGTCGTTCCTGGATGGGCCGTCGGGCGCACGCGTAGTACAAAGGGTCTGATGGGGCACTGCGCTCGCTCACCGAATACAGCGGAGGCCAGTCCGCAAGAGACCTTCCACAAGAAGCCCAACCCTGAGACCCCAGGACGTCCATTGATTTTTGGTGTGAGAACGTCACGCTTTCCATCGCAAAACCATCGATACCCAAGAAACCCGAGGCACCCTGGAGGCAAGCAGGGTGTGTCTTGGCATGGGTCTCCACTGTAGCCATGACGCTCTCTGAAGAAGAGCTTGCGCTCCGTCCAGCCAGAGCGGACTGCAAGTTCGCCGCCCCAGGCGGTATCGACTTCTGCGCAAGCGCAAGCCGATCCTTGCGTTTCCGCGCAGCACAACTGTGCGGTGGGGGGGGGCGGGGAGCGACGAGGAGGAAGGAGGCTGGAAGGGTGGCTGAGGACGGAGAGGCAACGAGGGGGGAAGGGGAGGGAGGCTGAGGATGAGAAGTGCAAAGATCATGCGGGTCACGTGCGACAATTCTGGCGAGTCATTGGGCCCCACGTGCGCCAACCCCCCGGTCACATAGAACTGTATGCTTGACAGCGAGGAACACGGGAGTAACGCAGACGCCGCAGTCTGGAGCAGGCCAGCCACTGATGCCGGACGGAGCTTGCAGGGTGAGGCCACCGAGGAGTACTGAAGCAGCTGAGAAATCATGGCCCACCCTCGCTAGAAGTGGTGGGGATGCGGGAGTGACGGAGGACGAAGGGCGGGGAGGAGGGTGGGGGGGGAGGAAAAAGCGCGCGCGGGGGGGGTGGCGGGCAAGTCCCGCGAAGGGCCCCTGGCGGACAGCGGCATCGCGACGCCACTGGGCGCGGAAGCCCCAAACATCTAGGACATCGTCAGAGCTCATCTTCCTCGTCCTGAACTTTATCCTTGCCCTTCCGCTCGCTCCTCTTCCTCCTCCTCCTCCTCGCTCCTCCTCTTCCTCCTCCTCCTTTTCCTCCTCCTCCTCCTCCTCATCATCCTCATCCTCATCCTCATCCTCATCCTCCTCCTCCTCCTCCTCCTCCTCCTCCTCCTCCTCCTCCTCATCCTCATCATCATCATCATCATCATCATCATCATCATCATCATCATCATCATCATCATCATCATCATCATCATCATCATCATCAACTCCTCCTCCTCCTTTTCCGCTTCCTCCTTCTCCTCCCTCTTCCTCCTCCTCCCCTCCTCCCTCTCCTCCTCCTCCTTTTCCTCCTCCTCCTCCTCCTCCTCTTCCTCCCTCTCCTCCTCCTCCTCTTCCTCCCTCTCCTCCCCCTCTCCTCCCTCTCCTCCTCCTCCTCCTCCTCCTCCTCCTCCTCCTCCTCCTGAACTTTCTGGTTGTCTTCCCCCTTGCTCTCGCCTTTCTCCCCGCCGCGGTAGCGTAGTGGCAACAGTCGCGGTCACATGACGACAGCGGAGATCTAGACGGCCGGGGGGGAATAGAGGAGCTGGTGGCGCTCACAAGGGGGTACTGGTAGGGGGGAAGGCTTCTAGACAATAGGAGTGTTTCTCAATAGCCTTCCCCCTCCCCATACCCCCCTTCTGCGCGTGGCCGCAGGAAGGTGGTCAGGGAGGGACAGGGGGGGATAGAGGGATGCAGGGACGAACGGCGAAGGAAGGGAAGGGAAGACAAGGACAGGATGTTGTAGTATAGGAGTGGAAGTGGGAGGATCTACGATGCTCGAGATGCTCGCAGATGCTCAAGGCCAAGATCTCGGATCCTCGATGTGAAGATGGAGGATCGAGCCTCGTCGGTGGCAATGTGGGCCCGAGGACGACCTGAGGGGCACTAGGCCCGATCCTCGAGCCTCAGATGTCGAACCCGAAATCTTCCAGTCCACGCTTGGCGACCCTCGGATCTAGGATCCGAGATGCTCGCATATGCTCAAGACCAAGATCTCGGATCCTCGATCCGAGGATGGAGGATCGAGCCTGCTCGGTGGCAGCGTGGACTCGAGGACGGCGAGAGGGGCGATCTACCATCGCCGAGGCTGGGTGTCGAACCCGAGATCTCCCCATCCAAACTTGGCGACGCTCGGATCTAGATTCCGAAGTGCTCGCAAATGCCAAGGACCAAGATCTCGGATCCTCGATCCGAGGATGGGGGGTCGAGCCTGCTCGGTGGCAGCGTGGGCTCGAGGACGGCGGCGAAAGCAATCTACTATCGCCCATGCTCGGTCCTCGAGCCTCGGGCGTCGAACCCGAGAGCTTCGAGTCCAAACTTGGCGACCCTCGGATCTAGGACCCGACGTGCTCGCAGGCGCTCAAGACGAATATCTCGGATCGTCGACCCGAGGATGGAGGATCGATCATGCCCGATGGCAGTGCGACGATCGAGGGTCGCCGAGGCTCGATCCTCGATCCTCGGATCGCGAATCCGCGATCTTCCAGTTCAAGCTTGGTGAACCTCGGATCCAGGACCCAAGGTGCTCGAATCTGGTCGGACTCAAGATCTCGGATCATCGATCCGGGGATGGAGGATCGAATCCGCTTGATTCCTTGGTGCTTGACCGAGGATCGCTCGGCGAGTGGGGGGGGACCCCGCAGCTTGGAACGCCACTGGCGTGCTCGAGCGCTCTCCTGGAGCTTGAAAAACAGGTGGGGCTCGAGCGCGCGCCTCGAAACGGCGCCCTCGTAGCGAACGGCATGGGGCGCTTGGTTCGGGGAGCTCTGGCTCGGCCTTCGCGTCGGCCAGGCTCCTCTCGACTTCGCGCTCGTTCATGGTGAGCTCGTCGCACTCGGCCTGGGTCGGCGCAAACTTGTCCAAGTGCAGCCTGATGTGGTTCTCGACGGTTTTCGAGTAGTCCCGCTAGGCGCGCTTGTTTTGGTAGGTCCGCTCGTGCAGCTCGTAGCTCATGCCGGTTGTCACCTTGATGGACCAGCGCCACTTGAGAATTGTATGAGCGGTGGCCTTGGCGGCCCCGTCGGTCGCGATCGAGACCGTGGAACTCTCGTTGCACCGCTTGACGTACTCTCGGCCCCTGCTCTGGGCCAGGTTGAAGAGCATCTCGGAGTTCTCAGCGGGCCCCGCGTCCAAGTGCTCGACGGGCTCGAACTTCCTGTTGATCGGCAGCGCTAGTTCGTGGAGGTGAAGAGCTCGGCGGGGATGCTTGGGAGGGCATAGCCGATGCGCTCGGTGTAGGAGCCGTGGGTAAGTTTCTTGACGTCCTCGGCGCCGAGCTCCATGTCTCTCTTCGCGGCGAGCTCCTGCAGCTGGGCCCTGAAGCCCGGCATGACTCAGAAAGTCCTCGGGCGGATCTCCGCGGTCCTCGAAGATGTCGCGCGCGTGCTCGTCCTGCTCGACGTAGGTATTGTAGAACGCCGCCACGGCCAGCTCGATGCGCCTCTTGTCCTTCCCGTTGAACATGCGGCCGTGCTCGGTGCTCTTGTAGGGCCCGCCTTGGCACGCCATCTCGAGCGCGGCTTGCTGGGCGCTGCTTGACCACGAGGCGCTCTCGGCCGTGAAATAGCAGCTCGTCGCCCTCGCCGCGTCCGTGCCTTGCGCGCTCGACTGGCACTGGCGCATCTCGGCGATGGAGGCCTTGTCCGCGATGAAGCTCAGCTTCTCGAGGATATTCTCGTTCTGCTTGGCCATGCGCTCGAGAATCTTCTTCGAGCTCGGGCTCGGGGTCGCCGCGCTCTTTAGGGCCTCGACGGGGGCGCTCGCCGCCGCGGCGCGCCCGGCGGGCTGGGGCATCGCTGGGGCTCGCGACGCCGACCTGGGATCGGCGATACATCGTCGATGCATCGGCGACGCGCGCCCGATGCATCGGCGATGTATGGCCGATTCCAAGTCGATGTCCCCCTCCCCAATGCCCACGCATCGGCGATACATCGCCGATGCATAGGCATGCCTATCCCCCCCTATCGCTGCCCCTGGGGCGAGGAGGCTCGGCGCCTCGAAGAGGCCCGAAAGCTTGGAATCTCGGAAACTCGGGGAAGCTTGGGCCGGGGCAGCTGCGGGGGCAGATAAGGAGGAGAAGGAGGAGGAGGAAGAGGAGGAAGAGGAGGAGGAGGAAGAGGAGGAGGAGGGAGAGGAAGAAAGGCCGCGAACCGTGTGATGGGTGCGCCAAAAAGTAATTCACATAACAAGCTCCAATGCTCTCTTCGCCTGCTCGAAAAAGGCATGCACAATCAAAACCCTATCGGCCCCGATGTCCCTGCCACACGTTACTGACTCGGGAACGGCTAAGAAAAAGAGAATCCCATGGCCCTGCCGCGCGTTCGTAACGCGGGCACACTGAACTGGTGAGAGCCCCACAACCCTGCCACACGCTCGTGATTCTGGAACTGGTGTGGTGATACCACCATGGCCATGCTTCGCGTTTTCGATGTTGGTGCTAGTCGACATGCTATGATAACAACTTCGATCCCCGCAACTTTTCCGTATATTATAAAAATCGGCCTCCGCGCCGTCCTATACAATTAAAACCTATTGGCCGGAAATGATAAACACTCGGGGGAAAACGGAAGGTACTTTATTATCGCCCGTCGGCGGTTACGTTGGTCATGGTTAAGGTCGCCCGTCGGCGGTTACGTAAAACTCTGACCAAAGTCCCACCAGCCCTTTGGGCGTGAGTGGTTTAGAGAGCCCGCTCTGTCCTCAACCCCCCTTCTTCCCCTTCGGGGAGGGGTTTACCCCTCCCCCTGCCCCCTCCCCCTGGACCTGGAGAGGGAGTCCCGAGCGTCGTCAGGGGCACGGGGATTCTGGCCCCGAGGGGGGGGAGGCAGTTTGGCGCCTCAGCTCGTCGTTGAAGCAAAAAACATTGACTTTACTACGGTTTTGGCTCCATTTTGGCCTTCTGAGGGGGCCGCGTTCCTCTTCCGTCTTAGCAAAATCATTGATGTTACGAAGGTTTGGGGCTGATTTTGTCCTTCTCAGGGGTCAGCGCTTATTTGCGCTTCTGAGGAGGTCGCAAGAAGCCCCAAGATAGCCCCAAGAGGCCCCCAGGAGTCTCCCAAGAGGCCTCCAGGAGGCCCCCAAGAGGCCCCCAAGAGGCCCCAAGAGGTCCCCAAGAGGCTCCCAAGAGGCCCCCAAGAGGCCCCAAGAGGCTCCAAGAGGCCCCCAAGACGCCCCCAAGAGGCCCCCAAGAGGCCCCCAAGACGCCCCAAGAGCTCCAAGAGGCCCCCAACAGGCCCAACGAGGAGCCCGAACGACTCACACCAGGACGCGAGACCCCAACGACTCACACCACGAGGAGCCCGGACGAGTCACACCACAAGGAAGGACCCGAACGACTTACACCAAGACGAGGCGACCAAACGACTCATACCACGAGGAGCCCGAACGACTCACACCCACCCGGACGAGGGGCCCGAACGACTCACACCACGAAAAGCCCGAACGACTCACACCAGGAGGAGGGGCCCGAACGACTCACACCAGGACGAGGCGCCCGAACGACTCACACCACGAGGAGCCCGAACGACTCACACCAGGACGAGGGCCCCGAACGACTCACACCACGAGGAGCCCGAACGACTCACACCAGGAGGAGGAGCCCGAACGACTCACACCAGGACGAAGGGCCCGAACAACTCACACCACGAGAAGCCCGAACGACTCACGCCAGGACGAAGAGCCCGAACGACTCAAACCACGACGAAGAGCCCGAACGACTCACACCAGGAAGAAGGGCCCGAACGACTCACACCAGGACGAGAGGCCCGGAGATATGCGGGGGCAGGCGGAAACACGCCTGAAAAACACGACTGTCAGCATGCTTCGCAAGAGTTGCTGTTTTGAGATGGGCTGGTGGGGATACGCGAAGCGTGAAGAATTTAAAACGAATGCGCGCGGCGTTAATGCGAGGGCCACAT